TAAAGATTTTCTAGTCTTTCGTGGGCGGGCAAGTTATAACCTTTCTACACAAACACTGGACCACTAGCTGAAGATTTTATTAGATTATAAGTAGGTAATTGTAGAGATCTGTATACATATATGTGCCCAATGTAAAGTCAAGTCAAGGTAGATTTCTTTTTCGAAAGAAAAAAGGCTTTTTCTGCCCAGGGAGAGGCGATAGAGAGTGTCAGACTCTTACTGACTAAAAACCTCCCGTTCCTTCTCCAGCTTTAGGCCGATGCCGCGGTGTTACATTGCGCCTACCCCTCAACTCCGGCTGAACATCAGCCCTATAGGGCTCCGTCTGTGGTGGTCTATTGGCGGCGAGCTACCCTTAGGTACTCGCCATCCGCAAACCCGGGTTTACGGTGGTCGGAGATCTTCTCTCGAAGGTGGCGAGGATAAGCAAAATATTGTACCGCGGTCAAGCTCGGACCCAAAGTAACAGGGTGGTATTTAGTCAGTCTAACACTCTCTCTCACACAATTTAGCGGCGGCGATAGGCATAGACAGTGGATGCCATTTCCACCAAAATTTTTTTTTAAGTAAATACCGTTGGATATTAATGTTCCACAGTCCTATTTAGGCAAGCCATTCTCATATAAGTATTACAAAAAATATAATAAAACTGCACCATCTCAACCTTCCTCAAGCATTAAAGTCATCTGCAGAAAAATAGGTGTAAAGAGAAAATTACATTCAAATGACGACACTGCAACGAACGGCAGATGGTGGAAAATTCAAGAACTAAGGTCCAAGGTCCTTACTTCTCTAACACCGTGGTGATGACTCAGCGTGATAAACCCACTATTTTATTTACCTTTCTAGTCTGATACAGCTTTACTCGTAGGTTTCCCTAACATCTCAACTTCGTTTTGTACCTCTCCCGCCCAGGGTAAGGCGAGAGAGAGTGTCAGACTCTTCATCATCATCATCATCATCTGCCCATAAGTGCCCACTGCTGAGCAAAGGCCTCTTCTCACACGGAGAAGCTTCAAACTTATAACTAATTAGATATTATAAGTCCTTCTCCTGGCTAAAGCCGCAGTGAATCATTGCGCTTAACCCTCAATCCCGGTTAAGCGAAACATCTAATACGAGCTAAGAATGTTTCCTGAGCGGAAATCTTTAAAATCACAATTGCTCAATGCAGCACTTTATCGATTTTAGATTTTAACAAATAACTCTTAGAACATTCTTTACATGGAAACAACAGACATCATTTTTTTTTTATTTCACGTATCTATGTACAGATGCCAGCAGACCAGCCTACTACTGTTTGTTAAACTGCATACAATATTCAACTTAGTCACGTATTGTATAAAATCGAAAATGAATAAAGATATGACAGATTGGAGTACGTTGACCTCCACCACGTTCTGTGTCTACCACGATTAGCAAAATCTAAATCTGAATGATTCTAGTTTAGGCATTGTTTAAACAGGTTTAACACTAGTATTAGTACTGTATTTACATAATTATAATTTCTAATCCGATCAGACATAGGTTTTACCATGCCTATTGTGGTTAGATGCATTGGTACTAGGACGCAAAGGAAAAGCAGGAAAATTGTATCATAGGTTAAACCTCGCTGTGATGTGCCATTTCACAGTGATGCAATAACAAAGAATTACTTCATCTGGTTTTAAATAAAAACCTATTTTGTTGTTAAAAAAGATTTTAATTTCCCGATTTGATTACCAAAAATGTGAATGTAAAAAAATATTCAAAAGTCAAAATAATTTATTTCCAGGCACTTTTACACGTCAAACAAAATTATTCCTATTAGATTTCAAGTCCAAGGAGTTCATGTTAATAAATATATAAAAGTACCTAATGTGAAAAAAACAAAACGACTATTGACAAGCGCAATAAGTCTTGAATCAGTTCATAGTAAAAATACGAAATAGGTTATTACAAAGTAGTGCGGAACACAAAACAATAACAAGACAATACACGGCGCCAAAGATACAAAATAACTTAGAATTATTCGCACTCGTGAACACAACGCCCTTCAGTGACCACCACAGTCACTTCAACTTACCGTTTCCACATACTTAAGAAGCCAATAACTCCGTTTAAGCAATGTTCTGAGATACACTTATTGATTAATTGACCAAACAAAACACGTTGCACCAATTAATTCCCTTCAATACAATAATAAATCTATGTTTAGAAACGGAAGTCATTGTGTTCTTGTATGAAGCTTAGGATTCACTTGAGGGTATTGATAACCAATTTTAAGATACAATACAAAATTGAGTACCAACTTTGTTTGCCACTGATTCATGAGGATTTTGGCATTGATTCATGAGGATACCCAAAAACACTCGTGGCGCCATCTACAATAATAAGAATTTAATTTTTCCATAAAATGAGAAACTTGAGTTAGATAATCTTTCCTATATAATTAACTAACCTAAGCCCGTTTGCGTTATGTGCAAAATTGTTCACAGACTAATATTAATGTTTTAGTCTAACAACTAGTAAATCAGAGTAAATCAGAGTACGCATGATCACAACTTGTTTTAAGACACGTTTCTCAATTTGCCCTGCAGTGAATACTCGACTTAAGATAATGTCCGATTCCATGGTGATTGAAAGGTATAAACTCTTTTGTTTCGGCTCGTTTCGACTTGCCATAAAAACTTGCCTTGAACAATTCGTGTATTGGATTGGGGAGCGAAATGACCAGTGACCTTACTTAAGTTGCGTAAGTAAACCAATTTATTGGAACAAGTGCGTAGGTTAACGTACCAAAAATACAAGTTAATTTTGTAACTTGTTGACTCGTGAGAAATTCCTATATGCTGTAATTAAGTAATAGGATATCCTTCGAGAAATTTTGTAAGACAGAATTTTAGTTACTTTAGTTCGTTGATTTATACCAATTATCGACTTAGAAGTCAATGAAGAAGAAAATTTGATCTAATTAGAAACAAGCACTAAATAAAACATTGGAAGGTCTAGCTGTTGTATAACCAAAATGTAGGACATCATTGTTGTTCAATCATATATTTCATACTTTTTTCTGGAGCCAACAAAATTGTGTCAAATGCATTCTTTAAATATGACAAATCCGGCTTCCCCGATCCTTAAAAAAATAAGAGCAACATCTGCAAGCTGAAGTAGCTAGAGGCAGGCCACATCGTTTGAAGGACGAAGAAGATGTTGGAGTGAAACTATGGACTGGAAGACGTAGCGTGGGTAGACCTTTGCCTAGGTGGACCGACGACATCGTCAGAGTCGCGGGAAGCCATTGGATGCAAGTCCAGCTGTAGACGTCCTCCTGTTGATGGTAATGGAGTTATCAGAATAATTTAAATGATTAAAGCGAAACGAAATGAGACGCTCGAGTATGACATTATCATATTATTCTGTAGTACCTATAGTTGTTGTGGTACTGACACATTGACGTTCTTTTTAACGTTATTTCATTTCCGCCCTAACCAGAAGTAAACAAGTTTCTCATTAAAAAACATGCATCACAATATTCACAGTTTAAAAAACCATAATGCCTTCCAATATAATAGCATTTAAAAGTTAAAGAACTATAATATGATTGTTATCTAAGTCTTACTTACAGATTTTATAGACAATCGTTTAATGTTTCTTTATCTTCACACAGTTGGAATGATGAAAACGTCGGTACGAATGCGCTGGATAACTGGAGAAATACCACAACCCGACTTGAAATCAGCGTGAAACAAAATATACATTCTGTTTCATTTTGTGAATTATATTATCAAAGGCCAAATCCTCTCTCTCTCTCTCTTCCCCATTCCCAATTCCACAATCTAATTACCTACTAATCTCTTAAAAACTGGCGATTACAAATGCCGCTACATGGAAGGTGCCGTTAAAAATATCTTATATACCTAACAATGAGAGTGAACAACAACGAGTGAAATAACAGTGAGAGTGAGTTCTGGTATAACTGGAATGGGCTGGTGGAACTCTTATTATCATCATCATCGTCAACCGAAAAACCACAACATAAAGCACTTCCTTGCTCTAGGCGGATTAGCGATTTCAAACTTATAATTAGAAATTAAAGTCCAGTTTGCCTCACGATGTTTTCTTTTACCGTAAGGTATGTTAGTGTTATGTAAATAATCATAGGAATCATGTACCTAACTCAGAAAAAGTCACATTGGTACCCGCCAGGTTTCGAAACAAGAAGCGGGCGCCTTAATCTTCGGGCCGCCTCTTGGAACTTGGGGATTTTCTATGGATGATCAAAATGCTGCAACCTCTTTATATTTGATCACAGTTTAGGAACATGCCCTGGAACGCTGGAACTGTCGAATACGATGAACTTTTAGATGCATGTTCACATCGAGATTCTTGGCACATTTTTTTTAAGTTAAGATTAATGCACCAAGCTTCATTACCTCTGCATTTTAAAGATAAAAATGTGATGTTTTGTCCCAACAACATGCACGCGAAACGTGATTTATGACTTGATATCATAACATTCCATCCACCCAACTATAGTGGGTAGTAGGTACCTACTTACTTAAATTTTCCATAAAAAACAAAATTTTTACTTTAATATTTTACCCAATTAATTTTATATTTATCTCAACTTTAACGAAGGTCAAAACTATCCTTTTATTTGCCAACAATTTTGAGTTTTTTTTTAAGTTTACGTGTTTTTAAAATTGAGTACTGGCAGACTGACCCTGAAACTTTGGTTTTAAATACTTTCTTAAGTAACAGTTAACACAACTTGGTAAAGTCACGATCCAAATCCTAGGGTTTAATCATGTTGAGTTTTAAAGGTTTAATTTGCAATTGTTTTACCCCAAACGTCGTCATAAGACTAGAGAACTGTAAAGTTTTCTAGTACTCTAAATTGTTTTTGATGTGTATTCTAAATAATTTGAATCATAATTTGATCTGAATTTAGGTCGGGTCTATGTACTATGATACTGAATGAAAGTGAAAGGCAAATACATGGTAAATAAATTTATTGGCGTATAAAAAGAACTTAGGAATAGGATAATCATTTTATGACAATTCACAAAATATACGGAAGATGTTTCGAAAATAACGCGAAAAGATGTGAACTGTCGTAAAAAAATCAATAAGTAATCCGATTAAATACTAAATAAATTTCAAATTTGTTCGCTAAAATAAAAGTTTAATTCAACAATTCTTTAAATCATTACACAATAATTAAAAGTACAGATATCAATATATATATTTTGGCAGTAATAGTAAAATAATGAATCTATTGAATTTGTGACAAAAACATCAACATCAAAACTGATTTGAAAGTCAAAGCATTGAATTTAATTACATCACTAACAAGCACTTTGATTTAATAACTCTATTAATTAAGAATCTCAAAAAGTCCCTTGTAATTGTTTTTATCCAAATCCAATTATTTATTATTCACATGGTATTGTGCAATCATTATTATAAGTACACTTAATTCGCTGATGATTAAAAGAACGATTTGTGGTTTGATAAACGTAAAAGTATTCTAAATTAGGTACATGTTTTCGAGAGCAGAAATGTTATATTTTTACAAAATAACGTAAGTTTAATTGACATGCCTAATTTTTTGAGCTAAACATTAAATAAAAATGACTTTTGAAAAAATATCGAAGCAAATTTAAAAAATTATGTTAAACGTTTGTAACACTAAGAAAACTAGCCGCTTTAAGTTATATTCCAGTCTTTGGCATAAATTTTTCGCCATCACTCAAAAATTTCGTTGTCAAAAAAAAGAAAAAATAATTCGTAATAAATGTTTGAACCTTAAAACTATCAAATAAGTAATTCATAAGAGTAAAGAATGAACTCGAAAACAAGACGAGATAACAACAGAAAACGATTTAGGAGATGAAACTGAGATGGAAAAAATACTGGGACCAATATGGAAGTATATAAGTGCGAACATCTAAAGAGAGAGAGCACTTGGATGTACCGCAACTCACGACGCACGATAACGATCAAAATAATGACCATGTTACTCAAGATATCATAAATTTCAGTGAAAACTGGTTAGCCTCGTTATGTCACCAAGAGCCAAAATCCTTATTTGGATCGCATCGTGCGTCACGCAAATAACAAAATATTTTCACTCTCGCGAATATTTCCTCATAAACCGTATCGAGAAGCCGACAGATGTTAAGAATCAAGCTATAGGTAAACTGGGTATTGTTGTTACCTATTTCACTACAGCCCACAATTCATCACCAGGGTAAACTGATGTCTGAATATATTTTCCAAAGTTGCTAGTGCTACATCTTCTATCGATAAAAATTACCCTGGTTTGATCTACAATCTAAGTACTTTAAACTAGCACGAAACAATCATGCTCAAATTATATTTCAGATGTTTAAGTTTCGTTTTTGTTATCAGAAACAATTCTCGGATCTTTTAACATATGGATCTCGAGAATCATAAACTCACGTCTCGGACTCGAGACTTCTTCCTCTATGCAGTGGACTAAACGTCCACATATCACAGCCACTGTACGACACGGTACAATCACACGACAAACATACGACCAAACCTGTCTTCATTGCAGATATAAATCTCAAAAGACATTCATTTGGCCACACTTAAGCCTTACGACTTCACTTTCGACTTAGTATCGAGGAACGTGTTTCTATCTACGACTAACTAAATAAACACACTGTCACAATTAAACAAAATACTGTAACGCTCGACTACAATATACTTAAATTCTACAATGCAAGCTGGAACAGTCTTAATACATTATCTATACTACGCACTTGACAGAACTTCGTGGTATCCTTACTACAACTATCTTTCTATCATCAAGCCGTTATTTAAGTACTTGATGGTTCAAATTTCCTATATCAAATAATAAACCTAAAAATATTGGCCTAACTTGCACTGCAGATAAATAAAATATACTATTCTAAGGGCGAGAATCTACTTCGTGGAGTTTCCCGAGCTGCCGACTTTGTTTTTGAGCCAATTGTTGGTGCGAGTTAGAATGTCTGGTTGTTCTGTTGAGGCTTGCCACGCTTCTAAGTTGACCTTTTTGATTTCTTCACACGGGACGATAGGATTGCTGCAAAGAAAAAATTAAATGAGTCACAATAAATATCGACTCCAGAAACCATTCAAAATATTTATGTTAAGCAGACAAATGTCAGATCGAGAAGGAAAACAGCTTTCAATTATCATAATGATGAAAACATTAACAGATAAAAACAACATCAGGAAACATCTATAAGAAGGTCGTATTTTGTCATCCTGTATCCAAAAGTATCCTACTTTCCATCAGGAATTTAATCATAAAAAAAATACACAGGTAAATACTTATAGTCTTAACTTAAAAAATAATTCAAAAGAAATTTTACGTATAACATAAGTTTATGCCTTGTGGTACTCCTATTTTTTTTTAGCTATAGCTTGAAATTATACTTTTCGTACAGACTCTATTTATTTCAATTATAAAATATATTGATTCATCCAAGAGATACAACATTTTCACTAAACTAAACTTTCAATAATTGAGTGAGCTAAGATTTTTGTCGAATATGCTAGTTAACCAAACGCCTATGTAACGTGCAGAAATACAACTAAGGTGATTTAAAAAGTATTTACCTTTCAGAAACCGGTTGGAAGGCATCTTTCTGAATTCTATCGAAAGGCGTGTTGTCACAGAGTAGTCTTGCGAGGGATGAGCGCTTTATTTCAGCAAGCTGTCTCTTGGTGAACTTGCCGGCTTCATCTTGGTGACTGTAGAAGTATCTGTCTCCTGCCTTTGTGCGCCAAAGTTGTTCCTCTGTAAGAAAATGACGATTTACATATTTAATTTTTAAGTTGTAGAAAATTTGTTAATTGTGCCTTAATGGTACTTTCTTTGTATAATGAGGGGTAAGGGGTAAGGGTACTTGTTCCTCTAAAAATAATAAATGAATACTTACTCATAATGCAAATGGCTGTAGGTCCCAAAAGAGAACCAGGGACTGGTGACTCAGCCATCAGACCAATGACCAGGTCGATATCACCAGGCTGCTCGTACAGTTTCGATAGCTTTGTAATTGTCTGTAAAAGAACAATCATATATTAGAACAAATTTATGAGACATGGCAATACTGTGAGTCTTGAGTGAAATATACCTATCGAGACCGATAAAATCGTTTTGGTAAATTTGATTCAAACAATATTTCTCATATTGCGCTTATTTTAGAGATCACTTTTCTTCAAAATAAATAATTTACAAAAATATTAAGTACCTCTTTTTCATTTAGTAGCATTAGGCATTTGTTATGGCACATAATGATGATTGCAAAAACACTTCTCTAATGAAAGGTCTCTTGGTCCAGTAAAATAACTTACCTCTTCTGGCATAACGTCAGTAAGTTGTTGGAAGCTGGAGACGGCAGGCAAGCCACAGAGGGTGCGGTACTGAGTGTATCCAGGTAGACCATGGTCACGACCGCGTTGGATGTCCACAGCCAACACATCAAGACCACCCAGCCATTGGTGACGGAGCTGTTAAAGATAATAAAATATTTACAATACAATACAAATTAGTACATTATGACGTCATTGAAATTAACTAAAATAAAATATGAGAAGAATCGAAACAAATTCAAATGTAATTTCTTTAAAATTCCAAACTTAAATAATGATAAAATCTGAGGAATAAAAACTAACTCCATAAGGCGCACGTAGTAACATAAATAAATAAATTGTCTTCGTTGATGTCTCATTGTATGATAAGGACATAATTAATGCATAAGGTAAATACATTCAAAGTGACATTCAAGTCATACCATTGTTCAACAGAAGAACAAAGTGTTCAAATAAAAATTGAAAACAATTATTCCTTGGTTTCTTTTTTCTTAACAACAATTCATGCATACATCGGAAGTCGATTGAAATTAATTGATTTTTATCGTTCTTATATCACAGTTATTTTCAACGCTTATAACGTTCAGCTTAGCTGTTAAGAGACTTACTATTCAGAATTCTGACAAAACTCAGTTTAGCCAATAATTTTTTTTTCAGTATAAACCAACAAAGCGTCCCTTTTTCTCTCTAAACCCCTCCAATCGTGAAAGGCACTTGGGTAAATACATATTTAACATATTAAAGATCTCTGTCAACATTCCGATATGAAGTTATCGTTGCTGCTGCAGATATGCAAAGTAAATATTTTTACGTAGTACCGCCTTTGGATCGCTTTATTAGCATAAACATATGAACATTTAGTACCTACTATCCAGTTAAGACTGATTTTACGTTGACGACATTCGTTTTACTTAGCACTGACTTCGTTGATAATTACTGCAAACTACATTTTAAGGTTTATTGACATCATTATCATATACTTCTTTGCCTTATTTGACATCATCAATCGGGGCCCCTCTATAAGGTTTAGGTTTGCTAACTATAATAACCTTACTTATAAATACAGGCATTGAATTCAAATTCAATGTCATAGCAATGTTAAGGTCATTTGGCTTATTAACATCACCGTTAACATCAATCAAACCTATTTCATCCTGTATATTTTTTTACTTGTTCAAATTTAATAGGTACATCTAGATCATTATAAATCATAGATACTTACGTCATCATCATAATTGAAGTCCAATCCCTGGCTCTTCTGGCTAACCATTCCCCTCAAGATCTTCTCAAGCCCTCCCTTCTGTGAGACCAGCTCTGGTTTGAAATAGTTGTTTAGAAGACGGTGTGGCGTCACACTGTTGTCTTTGTCAACGAGTTCAATGTCCTGGTCGAGAAGGCTATTGACAAAGTGGAAGGCGGCGGTGGCAAACGAGTTCGTGATTGTGGGGTCAATCTCCGAGACGTATCCTGGGTCATAACTCTCATATAGCTCATCGAATGACCTTCCTGTAACATAAAAAAAATGAATGTAATAATTGTTTGTGGGGGATCTGGTTTCAAATTCTGGTGGTATTCAGATAGTTTTACACGCTCTGTTGTTTTGCCTTTTACTCCAAGTTTTTACAGCATATTCTAGTTTAGTTTTTTGTTTTTTAGTTATTGTTTACTAAACATAATACAGGATAATGATGCAATATTACAATAATATCCCATTTTAACGTAAACAGTCTCGCATATTTAGAAAAAAATGGTTTGATTAAAAAAAATGCGTCATATAATTATGTCAGCGTTTGAATTGATTCTAAACTTACCGGTAAGTGCAGGCAACCAGGTCTTGTAGGTTATGTGTTGGAGTTCAGCAATGACAATCCTTCTAGCTTCATGGTACAGACGGTCGGAGTTCCAGCCAGGATTGAGAGTGGCCAGGGTACGGGCAATGCGGTTGTGTTCTCTCACCCAAATGGAGTACATACTCGCTAGCCATGGGTGGGTGTTGGCACGGGTATCACCTGTTGGTAGGACAAAATGTTGAGAAAAATACTTTAGTAGGGTAAAATTGGATAATAAGTGTAATGTATTCTAAACTCGGCAATCTCACTTAAAATATTAGAAATGAAACAACATTTTAAGAAGTTGGCTGTACGACGTTCAATGTATCGTCGATGGTCGCACGTATTGCGCATAACTATGGGCTCTTGGCACGGCTTGAAATTAGTTGAGTTACCTCGTCAAACAGTAACATGAGCAGGCCATGCAACGAATAAATGAGAAATAATACGTAATAGGCATCTCAATAAGTGAAATCTCTGATTCATGGCCTCAAATTATAACTAAAGCCAAGACTGAAATAGAAGTCTATTTTAATTCAGCAAAGGTCGATGATACCGAAATCAGTCCCTATAGTATGCTATCAAGATACATTCATGTGACAAATGTGGCGTCTCGAAATCTAAATGTGGGCAACGTGCCCTCCAACGTACAGTGCGACAAATCGATTATGAAACTAGGTTACGACTGTTTAAATATGTTATTATATAAGATAAAGCTAATGACCCTGTTAATTAGTACTATTTAGAAAGATTAGACTGCTTCCGAATTCGAATATTTGGCAAAACAAACAAAATTAGCTTGATGTAAGGATGTCAAGTACAGATAATTAAAATTTTCACCATCGTCCATACAAAGACAGCATGATGGAATTTACCAACAATCATTTTATCTTATCAAAATAATGAAACAACCATTAAACGAAACGTTATCTTAATAATATAATCTCGCTATCTCTCTTTTTATCAATATTATCGTTTTCTCAAATGACACGTTTAAGCTTGTAAACAATAGTTTTGTACCTAAAGTAAAGTTCTCGTGTTTATTTGGAAATTAGTTTTACTTAGTATCTATCTTAAATTTGTTAAGTCTAATGTGTGAAATACATTACCGTTGATATTGTTACCTACAATACGATATTTGGATTCATGGAGGTGGCGGCACCTGCATCCTACTAAAAGAAAACATAGACTGCTTAGAAAAAACAGATATCTCGAGAATGTCCATTGAATATATTGTAGAATCCTGCGCCACCGAACTAGTTAAAGAAAACATATTATTAATAACTATATACTGGAATAGAAGAGAGGAAGACGTATTTTATAACCAATTAAATAAAATGCTAACACATATAAACAAAAAGTATTCTAAATATGATATAATTCTTGGAGGCGACTTTAACATTGATATACAACAAAACAGCACAAAAACTAAAAATCTCTTAGACCTAATGTCAGAATTTAATTTTACACAACACGTTAAACAACCTACACGTATAACACAAAATTCATCAACTTGCATAGATTTAATTTTTACAAACTTCAATAATAAATATTCGCAAACGACAGTCGAAGAATTAGGATTCTCAGACCACTGTAGTACAATTATTAATCTTAAAATACCGCAGTCACAAAACAAAAACACGGTCTATTATATCAAAAAGCGATTATATAATAAACATAATATAGGCTTATTTAAAGCAGCACTACAGTCAATAAACTGGAGGGATCACATTGTACCCAATAACAATATCAACCAAAACTACGAAGCTTTCAATAACATAATAAAAATAACATTAAATAAAACTATACCTAAAAGAAAAATAAAATTAAAAAAGTGCCATAAAAAATATTGGTTAACCAAAGGAATTAAACTATCTTGCAAAAATAAGAGATTATTAAAAATCCTATGTTTAAAGTCGAGCAATCTAGTCATTAAAAAATACTATAGAAAATATGAAAAATTACTAAAACGGTCAGTAATAACAGCTAAAAAACTACAATACATAAATCAAATAAAAACATCACAAAACAAAATTAAAACTATGTGGGCAATAATAAAAGAACGCACAAACAAAAATCCTAGAGCTGAAAAGCAAAATATTCAACTGAAAATCGATAACGTCCTTAATACTGAACCTAAACAAATAGTAAATATATTCAACAATTTTTTTGCATCAATCGGCAAAGATACCGCGAACCTAAGTAACAACCAACAGTGTGATATAACTGTAACTCAGCAGTTAGAGAACACATTTTTCCTTAGACCAGTAGACTACCTCGAAACTAACAAACTAATAAAAAATCTCAAAAATAAAAATAGTCATGGAATAGACGAATTACCTCCATCCTTATTTAAACAGTGCGCTGACGAACTCACTGCACCAATTTGCGTATTAATAAACCAGTCATTCGAAGAAGGCATATTCCCAGATCTCCTAAAGAGGGCTATCGTCAAACCAATTCACAAGAAAAACTCGAAGACGGATCCCAACAATTACCGCCCCATTGCACTCCTGCCGACAGGATCAAAAATTTTTGAAAAAGCTATGTGCGATCGAGTCTATAGTTTTTGCGAGAGATTCAAAATCTTTGATGAGGGTCAAAATGGGTTCCGTAAACATAGGTCAACAACACTGGCAGTTTATAAGTATATTCAGGAAGTAATTAACATTTTAAATAATAAAAAATACGCAGTTGGCATTTTACTTGATATGACCAAGGCATATGACAGAGTGAAATTTGACATCTTACTTAACAAATTGTATAAAATAGGAATTCGCGGAGTTACCCATCAATGGTTTGAGTCATACCTTAAGGACAGAGAACAATACGTTGAAATTGAGTACTTCAATCAAGAAAGCAATGAAATAGTCAGTATAAGGTCGGACAGACAAATTTTAAACTCGTCAATTCCTCAAGGTAGCGTTATTGGTTGTCTGTTATTTCTTATATACATCAACGATCTCCCAAAAATTATGAACGAACCCTGTATATTATTTGCCGACGACGTTTCTCTTCTAACATCATGCCATAACGTTACAGAAATAAATACACAATTAGACACCATATTTAACAAAACAACAGAATGGATGGATCAACACAATTTGCAAATAAACTATAATAAAACAAAAATAATGACATTTTACCCCTACCAAAAAGCTCCAATAACAATCAACTTCTCGACTAATAATACAAAAATAGATGTTGTTGATGACTTCACACTACTCGGACTTACAATAGATACTCACATTAACTGGAAGACACACATCCAAAACACTAAATCCAAGCTATCTAAATTTATTTATGCTTTCCGCGAAGTAAAGATAACTACTGACCTACCAACAGCACTGAGTACTTACTACGCCTATGCGCACTCGCGGCTCAGCTACGGTATTCTCTTGTGGGGAAACAGCACTGACGCACCATCACTCTTCATACTGCAAAAAAAACTAATCCGCATACTCACAAACATAGAGCAAACCGAAAGTTGCAAACCCTATTTCCAAAAACATAAAATACTTACGCTTCCATGCATCTACATCTTAGAAATATGTAAATTCGTTAAGAGATACTCTACCTTCTTTACAAAGCGCGGAGACAGACACACCAACAGATCACTGAGACACAAAAACATGCTTATGCTACCTACATCCAACATGACACTACACTCAAATAGCCCATATGTAATGTGCATCAAAATATACAATAAATTACCCAACAAAATAAAAGATGAGCCTAGCGACACGAAATTCCTAAACACCCTAAAGCAAATATTAATAAATAAAGCATACTACACTATCAATGAATATCTTACGGATAAACAAATAACCTGAAAATATAAATTTTATTCAAACATAACCATATTAACAAACACCTTTTCTTGCTCAAAACTATAAGTAATATAAATATAATAAATAATATATGAATATATAGATAATATAAAAGTAACTTAAATGTAAAAAACTGAACAATAAAATACTCAAATACTCAATTATAACAAAAAATATAATAATATATAATTAATACAATAAAATAAAATAAATATAACAATAAATTTATATAAAATTTAGAACGAATAACCTTATAATATAATGTACAAAATACAAAAATATATATATACCTATTAAAATATAAATACAGGGTGTAAGGGACAGCCTTCCGCAAACTGATAGGGTGGATTCAGTATATCGTCTTAAGTTGACCGGTACATGAAATTATTTCAGGAACGTTATGGGAATCCAATTAAACCGATTTGTTTCATTACCTTACACGCAATGTATCGCTACCACCGCAAACGCACGCAGCGAACGGCAGCGCTTTTAGTATTATTACTTTACACTATGGGCAGCGCCGCGACCTTACGTTCAGACAAACGGTCGCGCTCGCGCCACGTTTTAATAACAATAAATTATTATTTAAAAGATAGCCGCATTACTTACAAAAGACAATGTAATAATCGCGCTCGCGCCACGTTTTAATAACAATAAATTATTATTTAAAAGATGGCTGCATTACTTACAAAAAAAAAATCTAACAATCATAACATGGTAACTGATAAATGATAAAAAAAGAAAAATGCGTAGGTACCTTAGAATCGCTCCGGTTTCCGGCTCTGGAAAGCATTTGTGATGCAGTCTCGTATTTCGTACTCACTTGCACTGTGCACACGCACTCACAAACACTTTTTCTTTTACGTAACCCCACAAAAAGGGGTCCAAATGGGTTAGGTCTGGGGATCGTGCTGGCCACGGTTGCGGTCCAAACCTACCTAAACTACGTTTAAATAGGAAAGCACTGGTAAGTGGTAGCGTCTCGTTACGTTAGCGAACCAATTCCAAAATCCACGTAGGTATTGGTCTTCCGGCGCCTTTTTGTCTGGGAACAATGGGCTGGTTTTCTAGCAAGCGTTGATAGTCACCAGTAATTATCCTGGAGTCTGATGGATGGCGACGGTCAGGATACCTACACTACTACAACACATTATCATCTCCCCATAATCACGCGCACTAAACGTACCTAGGTAGTAATTTCGCACAATTTCTACAACAAAACTTCACTACACTTCACACACTACATAACTAATAAAACATAACAACACTACTTATAACAAAACTTTTAAGCCGAATGCGCGAGCGATCCGTGCCGACACACGCTCGCGGTACACAAACAATAACATCGCAGCAAGGCACAATGGCGACTGCATGTGATGAGACACACACAAACATAAATCTGTTGTTGCCAATTACACGAAAACTACAAAATTTCGGGGTAAAAAATTAAAAATTATGCATGGTCGTAATTTATCATTCTGTTATTTTTTGTAGAGAAATGAATTGATTAAATCAATTTAATTCTAATTTCATTGTTTAGTTAATTTAGAATAATAAAAGTGCAGTGTGATAGAAAGCTGTGCTTCCATTCCAGGGAGATTGTGTTTAATTTCTGGCTCGACTATCAATTCATGGCTATTGTGAAGCCATGTAAAAATCTGTAAGTAGTTTAAAAACTAGCCAGTAATCGCTTAAAAAGAACAATCAATTAATAAATTAGGTAGTATTTGTAAATGCTTTAAAATTAAAACTAGACTAATCTTTATTTATTTCTTATTCAATTTATGTGCGCGACAAGATTTTCATTAATTGATTAATGAAAATCTCATCAACGTAATTATGAATGCAAAGGAGTTCTCAAGTTTTAGATAAATTTCGCTAGTTCTAACATTTTCGTTTACTACCTGAGGTAACAAAAGTTAAAAATTGGCAACACTGGTTCAATCGGGCAAACATTGTGCAAAGAATCGGGGAGACGGGGAGACGCGGAGGCGGGGCGATAGAAAGGGACGCAGCTATTCTGTACGTTGGACGGGATCGTAGGTATTATACCTACGGCGCGCGGCGCGGCGATCGGCGCGGTGGGGCGCCGAGCCGCTGCGCCGTGACCGCGGTGCGGTGAGTTCAAACGACTCGCGCTAGGTAGAAATTGAACAGCTGATTTCATGCGTAGTTCTTTAGAGAATTCACACAACCATTGCGTATTTTTTTGTTTTAGCTGTGTTATTTACATTAATGTTATTCTTCATACATACAATGTAATTATACATTGAAATAGAGGTGTAGGAACTGAAAAAACGAAAAAAAAATTGAAAAATTTCCTGAAAGAATTTTCACTGGAATATGATTCAGAATAAGGAGCTGAATGCACCCTGTTAATTTGTGGAGGGCTGTCCCTTACACCCTGTATAATAGCAATACTATACATACTTAGAATATGAAATACTTGTGCATAATTCTATACAAAAGAAGCCTGCCTCTCTTCTAATTTACTATTTGCTGTGCCCATCAGGGTCCATGATTGTTACTATACATAATATTACCATCTTATCTTACATTGTGGATGCAATAAAGAATTATGATTATGATTATGATTATGCGTTCAAAAGTTAACATATGCGTGATAATATTTCCAATTTCAATTTGGTTATTCCAATGAGATCATATTAAAATGGTTTATGATTATTTAAACGACACTTTTGGTACTACCAACGTCATTATAAGTTTCCGAGTCGTTTTCTAAATGAGTCATACTCCGTTTTCCATCTCCATTTTAAAGCTATTTTAATGTAGATACTAAAGTTACTATGTAATAATGCAGCTATTTTTAACTACCTACAGGACATCGACCCAATATTATAACTCTACAAACGCAACTGCACCAGCTATTCCAATAAAAAGTCGAACAACCAGTTCTAGAACGTTCTTTTCTTTTTTCAAACTTACCGGCGTTAAAGCAAGTTCCAGTTTTGCTGTCCACTAAGCACTGTTCAGTAGGGTTGGCAGCTAATGGCAGATGTTCCTCGTCTTCAATTTGAGCAGTCTTTAGAAGTCCCCCGGTTCTTTCACGTAGGGCTGCCGCATCATAGCTGTTTGCGCCATAGATGTTTGATCCATCGAGGAAATGGGTAGCTTGGTTCATCTAGAAGAAAGGAAAAATATTACTGTAGTGATTGATTGTGTCATTGTTCTGTTGATTACGAAGTTCATGTTTGTATGGAATTACCGTTGCATCTGTTATTACATTCCATTAACAGCATCTACGTATTTATGACTAACTAGCTTGTCCCGCGCGGTTACACACGCTACTCGCCTCCGTTTGGTTTTAGCGTAATATTTTATAGCCTTACTCTATAATTAGTATAACTCAACACAAAAGAAATTATTTAATTCGAACCAGTAGTTTCGGAGATTAGCGCTCACAAATAAACTAACAAATTTTTTACCTTTATTATATTAGTGTAGATTCAGAGCCTAGTTATACGAGTATTTCAATATTTTCAATACGTGCTACATTTGATAAATAATCATCATCATCATCATCATCATCAGCCCTTTTCAGTCCACTGCTGGACATAGGCCTCTCCTATTGCACGCCACTGGGATCGATCTTCGGCCACTCGCATCCAGCTCCTGCCAGCCATCTTGCGCAAATCATCACTCCACCTTGCCTGAGGACGTCCTACATTACGTTTGCCGAGACGCGGTCTCCACTCAAGAACTCGTCTACTCCAACGGTCATCGGTTCTTCGGCTAATATGGCCAGCCCACTGCCATTTCAGCTTGCTAATCCGGTGGGCTATGTCGATTACCTTGGTTCTCTGCCGGATCACCTCGTTTCTGATTCGATCTCGCAGAGAAACGCCGAGCATAGCCCTCTCCATAGCTCGCTGAGTGACCTTTAGCTTGTGAACCAGCCGCACCGTCAGTGTCCACGTTTCGGCTCCGTATGTCATGACAGGTAGGACGCACTGATTGAAGACTTTCGTCTTTAGGCACTGTGGGATCGACGACGTGAAGACTTGACGCAGCTTTCCATATGCTGCCCAACCTAGCTGAATTCTTCTATTCACCTCGTTCTCGAAGTTGTTTCTACCCATCTGCAATGTCTGCCCGAGGTATACATATTTTTGAACGACTTCGAGAACAGCGCCGTGTACTGCAATCGGTTCCGGTAGTACATGTTCATTGAACATGACCTTGGTTTTATCCAAGTTCATCCGTAGGCCGATGCGTATAGAAGAGTCAGCCAGGTCATTCAGCATCCGTTGTAGGTCCTGCAGCGTTTCTGCTACGATGACGATGTCGTCTGCAAATCGCAAGTGAGAGATGTACTCGCCATTTATGTTGATGCCGCGTCCTTTCCAGTTCAGCGTCTTGAACATATCCTCCATTGCATTTGTGAACAATTTCGGGGAGATAACATCCCCTTGTCTCACACCTCGATGCAACGGTATCGGCCTTGTTTGCTGATCCTGTACTTGGACGGACATGGTGGCGGCCTCGTAGAGACATCTCATCACTTGGATGTATCGCCAATCTACTTGGCATCGCTGCAGGGACTCCAGAACAGCCCATATTTCGACCGAGTCAAAGGCTTTCTCATAGTCCACAAATGCTAGGCACAGGGGCTGATTATACTCCTCAGTCTTCTGTATAATCTGCCGCACTGTGTGGATGTGGTCTATGGTGCCGTATCCGCTCCGAAACCCAGCCTGCTCCGGTGGTTGGAATTCGTCAAGTCTTCGCGCAAGGCGGTTCGTGATCACTCTCGAGAACAGCTTATAGACGTGGCTTAGAAGGGAAATGGGTCGATAATTCTTCAGTAGGGTTTTGTCACCCTTTTTGAAGAATAAGACGACCACACTCCGACTCCACGCCTCTGGAGTTCTCCCTTCAAACAGGACAGCGTTAAATAGCTTTTGCAGCTCCCTGAGTACCGGTTTGCTGCCCGCTTTTAGAAGCTCTGTCGTAACGCCATCCTCTCCAGGGGCTTTTCCATTTTTAAGCTGCCCAAGAGCGATCTCGATTTCGTCAATGCTGACTTCTGGCAGGTCTTCGGTGTAATGGCGTATTAAAGTGGCTCTAGAGTCCTCATTTCCGGGGTCAGGTCGAGATGCATGCGAAGCGTATAACCGGCCGTAGAAGTTTTCTACTTCCGAAAGAACTGCCGGCTTCGAGACAACGACTTCTCCACTTGCTGTGGTCAACTTCGTCAGGTGGCTTCTTCCAAGAGATTGTACGAACACTTTTGGCCCCCGGTTTTGCTCGATCGCTCTCTCGATTGCAAGGGTATTCGAGCACCGGAGATCGTGTCGCACGTGTTTGCTAATCTCTCGGTTTAGAGCCCGCTTCTCTGACGAAGTGACGGGTGGGTTTTCACGTCGTCTCTTCATAAGCCCTAAAGTCTCTTCCGAAAGCTTCGACTTCTTGCCCTTACGCTGCATTTCACAAAATCTCGTACCTTCTTCCCTGAGAACTCGAACCACGTTTTCAAGGTTCCGGTTAACGTCGGTTGTGGTTTCCAGGGCAGCAAATCGGTTCTCCAGGTTTAACTGAAACGCTTCAGATCCCATTTTGATTTGAAACAGGGTTGGTCGGAGCCTGGCCTTCATCAAGCGGACTCGTTCGGCTCTGAAGTCGATATTCAGAGAGCCTCGGACGAGTCGGTGATCGCTACCGGTATTAAACCTATTAATCACGGAGACGTCTCTGAATATGTGCCTTTTGTCCGCCATGATGAAGTCGATCTCGTTCTTTGTCATAGTGTCGGGGCTTTGCCACGTCCACTTCCTTTGGGGCTGCTTCTTAAAGAATGAATTCATTAAGAACATCCCCTCCCGTTCGAGGAAATTGACGAGCATTTGCCCCCTATGATTCCTGTTTCCATACCCATGGGATCCTACTACCGATTCACTGCAATTTTGTACTCCCACTTTGGCGTTAAAGTCCCCCATAACAATGTTGAAGTGAGTCCTAGTGGTGGAGTGGAGGGCCCTCGATATATCATCGAACATCTCCTCCACCTCATCATCGGAGTGTGCCGAGGTCGGTGCGTACACTTGGACCACCTTAAGGCTATACCTCTCGGTGAGCTTTATAATGAGGTACGCCACCCTGTTCGACACACTCGACATTTCCACAACATTGTTAGATAGGGACTTGTTAACCAGAAACCCAACGCCACCTTGGGATTTTTGGTCTCCCTCACGGAAGTACATCAGGTGGCCTGATTTGAGAGTTATCGTGTCCTCCCCCTCTCTTCGGACTTCACATAACCCTAGTATGTGCCACCTGATCTTCCCAAGTTCCACCTCTAGTTGCGCTAGATGCGAGTCAAGCCGTAGCGTGCGTCCGTTGTACGTCGCCAGGGTCAGTCTGTTGTGGTGGCCTCCCGTAGCCCGGAGATTCTTAGCACCCCCTACCCCACCGTTACCATGGTCGCCACCATGACCAGGAATAGTGGGGCTGCCGGGAACTGGGGGCCGTGGCCTTCGTTTTTTGCCCATAGGAGGTATTGCCCATAATCGCCACGCTGGGCAGGCGGGTTGGCGATCGCAGGGCGAAACCTTTCGCACCGGTAACGCTGCTGCCCGTCACCGGCCTGCGGTACTTAATTTCGCCTGTTTGTAAGGGACGGATATACCGCCGTCGGTCGGTCGCCAGAGCCTCGTTCGTTGACCAGCAGGATGCACCGCGTGCAGGTGAGGTTGGCTTGGGGCGAAAGATGGAAGTTCGCCCCCTTACATCCCTGATAAATAATATCAGAAATTAAAATTTAAAATTGATGGCCGATTTTATTTTGACTTATTAATTTAGATAGATTCAATTTCCCATTATCTAAAAATAATAAATATCAAAATGTTTGCCTTTGGTTGGTAAGAATTATTTTAATTTATCACTTACAATAATATAAGACTTAGATTTAGAGATTATTCGTAAAATAAATAATTTTAAATGCAACGTCGTCACACACGAGTTATATGTATACGTCCATGTAAACATTCTCAGTTAGTCAGAGAACATTATGGAAATTTACCGATGCATTGAAAAAAAAAGCACGCTTACTTTCTTAGGCAGAACTTTTCCATAACATTTCGATAACAAGAAGCAATGAATCACGTACTAACACATTGAATCGTTAACTTAATATCGGCTTTGATAAATTAGAATACAATGCACAGAAGTATTTTCAAGTTCAGTACCTAGTTATAGTTGCTTTCAGCAATTTTAGCAATTAATTAGCTTTGCAAATTGCAAATAGGTGCTGTCTCAAAACCTAGTCATGACAAAAACAAACCACAACAACACACGAGTACATAAGTACTTATAAATGTATATATCGCAATATATTTAAACTAAACTAGGTACACAAACTCAGCATAATAAGTAGGTAAGTATGTATGTGTATACAGAATGTTTATTTAACGCAATCATCAAGAAAACTGTACTTAGGTATCGTAGGAACTTAAGTATACACCTACATAACAATTATTCAGTAAATTAATCTTACTTAAATGTAAACAACAACACAGTAATATAGTCGTGCCGTAGACAACAAATCTATGTATGTACCTCATATAACTATTGACCCGCCCCGGCTTCGCAATTTTACAATACTGATACTAAATTCCTCCACTATTTAATGGATGATAGTATGTATATATAAACCAACTTATTCAACCACTCTGTCGATTAAAAAAAACCGCATCAAATCCGTTACATTATTTCAAAGAATTAAGCATACATAGGGATTATGGGGAGGGTAAAGCGTCTTTGTTTTTTACTATGTAAAAATGGGTAAAAGAAAAGTTCGTTAGTAACCGTTTTGGCTAATTTTGGTCTTGAAATATTTATAGAAGTCCAGGACGGGAGTAAAAGGTCAGAAAACATGAATAAATTACATGCATAAAATTTGTAAATGTAGTAATTTCGCTTTCATACACGACGTATGTACATTATTGAAAAAACTTACAAGTTTATGTAACGAATAGATAATTTTGCAGTAATGAGTTTTAAAAGAAAAATGTTGAGGCCAACGTTGCCTATACATATAAAGAACATGGAAACAAAGTCATAAATTGACCTCTTCTAAAATAAATGAAATCTATGTCTAACTCTATTACGTAGTTAAGTATGTATACGTATATGTCACAAAAACTTGTTATTATCCACACATCTCTTATCACTAGCTTAGAGCATAGAAGTTAATCCGGATATTACCAATATGACTCGAGTGCATTACGTTTATCATTCGACCTTATGTAACACTACACTCGTTAGAAGCAACTAGACTGCACTCTGAACTATATTTAGCCTTCATGTAAACACACTAGTTGCAGGCTGATGAATTGAAACCACTCAGTTTAAATAGTCAAGTACAAATCGATAACGCGAATCGATTAGCATTCGAAACATTCGGACTTTTGAACCGATCGATGGCATGAACGATCGAATAAATTGATTCTTCATTTATTGACATTGTAAAGATTGCAATTGAAATACCTCGTGTTTACTCAATTGATATGTTACGTCACTACATAGTGTACAACAAAGTCGCTTTCTCTGTCCCTATATGTCTATGTATCCTTAAATCTTTATAAAAATACCCACTATATAATAATTCAAGAGGAAGGTTTATATGTATAATGACATATATTTAAATAGTGGAGAAGAAGGTTTACACTGCACCCGTGCCAAGCCGGGCCAGTCGCAAATCAAATATTATAAAATACACTGTTGAGATGCTGATATCTTTCTACATAAATTTCCCTATAATTTATGTTTTGATAATAAATAACTCTATAAAGCTTTTCTGTGTAATCGCTAAAATATATTGCTATTCATATTTTTATTAAACTCACATTTGACGTCAAAGAGATATCAAAACTGCTGTTATTGTTTATAGTGTAATAAGTACATCAGAATCCTTGGCTATTATTGTCATTAAGCGTTAAAAATATGTGCTTAGGCATCTTAGTAAATGCTATCGACGTTAAAAAATCGACTAAGACATTAATAATAGATTAGCTTACAATAGAAGAAAAAATAATTGGTGCCAGACACCGGCTTTATACATATATTTCTTTTTGGAAATGTTTGAAGGCGCCACAAAAAAAAAAAAATTTTTTTAGGTGAAATTTTCTCTTTTGTTTTTATAGGTAACGTAAAGAACTAGATAGAAATAAATGGCTAAACACAAAATCAAATCTAAAACGTAACATCTAAACAACCAACAAAAAGACTGACTCATTAAAAAATCGGACATACAAACAACACGTGAATCAATATTATGCCATTAATAAACAAAGAACACCGAATAAGGCATAGTACTCGTTCAATGTACAACCAGTCACGGCGCCCATACATGATCGAAGTCGCGTCATTGTATGTAGTTATAAACAAATAGAATACGATCTCATGTATCTTAACAATTGTTTTGCCTTTGCCTGTCTCTGTCTCAATATACTGCAATCTCAATGCGTAAGAGTTCAAAGAACTAAGCTGTTTATGTAGGAATATTATTCAAAAGAAGACTCTTAGTATTTTTTCATTCCTAAATGAAATTGAGTAATATTACACCCCATATAGAAACACTAAGTATTTTTGTCGCTCTCTTCAAACTATGTAATTGGTAATTTCTGATTTTCTTACCTGCTCAGCAGCTCCGAAAGTGCAATCTCCTCTGTAGGTAGTGACGGATCGAGTGTACTCCATGCAGGTGACATACTTCTCCTTGTAGAACGGATCATCATGAGGCACAGAGATAGGCATACAGCTAGGGTGAATGTATCTTGGACTAAGAGAAAATCCATCGTTGTCACAGCACCGGATAGCTTGATTCGTATGGACTGTTGATAAAGCAGATATTTATGTCAATAAAGTTACAATTAAAATATATTGTTATTCAAATTGAAACATGAAACGTGTACTGTAGGTATTATGAGCTGCATAGCTTTAAATTATAATTGCAAATTGCAACTGGAACGTGTCGTTACGTTTAAATCAGGCAGACTTATTGTTACTCAAGGATCCTGTTTAATGAGTTGTGTCTCATGCCATGAATCATCTCCATAAACTTACTTGTTTTGCGAACAGGAGTATGAACCAGATCATGGTAGATAAACTGACTCCAGATAGCCAACGCCATGGTCTTGCCATTGTTTGGCACGTCCAGGTTACTTGTAAGCTTGGTACTGACAGCACGAGGAGACGGCAGCGCACTGTGGCTTATAGCGCGACGAGGCTGCAAGAAAATACAAAAAATAAGCCCCAAAAAATCACTAGAAATCTATTAGTTCACGAGCAAAATTGCTACTAAATGAATATTATAAGTACAAATAATCTCAATAAAACTTGACTTCAATCAAGTTGTTTATTTAACAAAGTATAACATAAGCCTAAGGTCGTTCTGTTTGCGTGACCTTATCAGATATTTGAATGAGCAATGTAAGGGAAAAAATCATTCAATATTTATTAACCAACCTCCTCAATGCCATCGGCATATCTGGGATGCAGAAGACGTTTGTAGCCGGTGAGTGCCTGACCCCAGGAAGACCGCACAGGGTTGTTGCAGGAACCATCAAAAGTACGATACTTTGACGACATCTTATTTGTATGACAAGTGAAACGTTCTAGAGCCGCACACTCGCCACCAAACTCACTCTCACGCAAATTCAACGTGCTGATGAAACTCGCACACTCATCATTTGGCAAACCATATCTGAATGTGGACAAACAAAATATATATACCCAAAAGTTCCTAAACAAATTCTATATTACACAAAGATTCGAACAACTTCTGAAACATACCTTCGGCACCTCGTGTAGACTAGATTCTGAGACGCTTTGGTAATCGTCATTGAGGACTTCTCATAGTGCATGGCATTCTCGGATACGGAACCGTCGATGGCGAGTCCAAGCGCAACAGAGCCCGTTTTAGGCGCGATACCAGCGGACTGCAGGTTTATTTCCAGCCTTTCCAACATGGAAACTTCTAGCTTGCTGATCCTTATCGACCTGTTTGTGTGTAGCGCTGTGACAGGCGGTAACCTCCTCAACATTTCAGCACTCGGAAACGGATAATCATACATAGGTGGCGGATGACTAATGTCTGCAAAAGAGTAAAACTGTCAAGAACTGAACCCTACTTTAAATAATTTGAGGGTGAATCTGAAGCAAAACTTACCAGTAGATAAAATAAGGTTTAGAGGATAAGGAGCAACATGACTCCCGAAGGTGACTCCCGCCCAGAGCACCACACCAAGTAACACCATCTTCATCATTTCTTCTAATATACTGGAACAAAGGAGTAGCCAGCTATGAGTCACAATACTCACAATGCACTGTACGTATAATAATCGAATTTAAATGCCAAGAGACCGACCGATGTAAAATTTTAACTATTAACATACTTCGTTCTTATATCTGAGACGTTTGGTGTCCAACTGATCGTCCAGCGACTGGATAAACAGTTTTATGAGACCTATTTACGAGAAGAGTATCATTACGACCCCTGATAACCTGTTCGCGTCCCCGCAGATAATGTTGAAGTACTCGCGCGTGTTTCGTCACTACTATCTGCAATTTTCAGTAATCACACGATAAATAGACGAGCCCCCTGAACTACGCTATACTGTAAACAGTTCCGGCTAAAGATAGAACTAATCAGGTGGCATGTGCAGTCAATAAAGTAGGTACTTAATTATAATAATTTATCGAGTCAAGTAGGTATCTTTCGTCTAATTCAGAGAATCCGTTAATGGGAAAACAAGTGACGAATGAATGTTTGGGTTTGGAATACTAGTTAACTAATCAGCTAATTATTGTCTTTAATTTAAGTACTTATTAGATTTATACGCAATAACTACGCAGTAGTTGAATTGTAACAACAGATTTCATTCATGGAATCTTTGGGGTGAGAGGGTTGTTTTTAAGCTTGAGGTTTACGGTTGGTAGGATTATTGTTTATGTTATTTCGAATTGTTTTCCAAAAACAAGAGCTATAATACCTTTTTTTGTATTAAGCTTTAATGTTTGGCTTCTATTTACTACGTCTACGTCCATGTGCATTTAAATAGTATAATAGATAAGATTGTGCAGCTTTGCAGACTTAAGCATTTTTTTTTTATAGAACCGCACCTGACAGGCTGTTTGATAGTTGCAGTTTGAAAAGATGTTTTATTTTTCTCCATTACAGTTTCAAATTGCACATGATTGTGTTCTAGAGTGGAGACCACATCTAGGCTAACGCAGTGTATCCGGAGCCCTCCAGCGGGGTGGACTGACGATATCCGCAGGGGGCTGGCAGTGATTGGATGAGAAGAGCTGAACATCGAGCTCAGTGGCGTGCAATTGGGGACGCCTATATATATGCTAATGAAGGAAATCAAGCTGATGATGATGATGATGATGGTAACGTATCTACCTAATTTAGTTATCTAATTCCAAATATTTGTGAGAAAACTCCGGCTCCTGGGAAATAATTTAAGTGATGAATGATGACACCTATTATTCTCTATTATTCAATTGATCTTGATTTATATTATTAATTAGAGTTGATTAGACTTTTTATTTGTAACTTTAATAATTAATTGAAATACTACAATAAAGTAAGCTCGGTTTTCCATATTTTTTTGTTCAAACATATTGATTTGCGTGTGACTTAAATAATTAGTCAATGAGATTTTACTCACTAACAAGAAAAAATTTAGAAACCTAAAAGGCTTGAGGTAAATGTTTTTACATAGCCAATCGTCCTGTATCACCAATCGTAAATGCAAATACGTATATTAAATATAAATGCACTAATATGTGCAGTTACGTTAATTATTAAAGAGTTTTAGTCAGGAACGTGGATAATTTTATGAATAATGAAACGACCAAATATTGTTTACGAACAAAACAGATCCAATTAAAATAATATTGTTAATTATAGCTGTTTATGCAACGATATGCGGTTTCCGATTAGTATGCTTATTTTAATTAATTACGCAATTAAAACTGAATCCTGAGTATGAAACACTAGTCTAAACAAAAATATTGATAAAATATTTGTTTATAAAACTTTGCGGATGCAATTTTCTTGATAATTAGATAATATATTTTCTTAGATAATTTTCTATTCGTTGCAGTTCTTGTTAGTTAACAAGCGACCCGCCCCGGCTTCACAGTGGTGCTACTGGTGTAATGCTGACACTAAATTTGTAAGTCTGTATGTAGGTGGTAAATCTTTGGAACCGCTGGTCGGATTTCCAAGATTCTTTTACTGATAGATAGCTACAATGTTCCTGTGTGCTATAGGCTATAAATAATAGGCACCTGATTTGCGTATTTTAATCGAGATATCACTTTAAGCGGTGCTGTTTTTAAAATCCCGGGATACATTTCTTTTACACGCGTGCGAACAACAGAGAGGGAACGCATATACACCTTACTCTCCATTAACTAGTTATATCGACTATAACAACCGTATTAAAATCTGTACCTAGCGTAGTTTTCAAGATTTAAGCGTACATAGAGCAATTTTTTTATCCTACATCTATTTTTATATTATAGTGATTGTCTGGGAAGGGTGAAGACGTATTCGGAATTTTGGTTTTTGCCGAAAAAAGTTAATCTATCAACTAACAAGTGGTTCAAACATGCAATGTCGTAAGTACATACCTACATAAATAAGTAGAGTAGAATTTTAAGAAATCCGTGTAAATATACATTAGTGCTTAGTTCATTGAGCTAATAATTGAATACATAGGCGTATTATGTAATTTACCATCGCTGTTAAGACTATAAGACTTTTCATCTAATGTTTAAATGGAACTGTTTATTTGTCCTCTAATGAATAAATAAATAAATAATGTTGTAATTAAGTAAATAAATATTTTACTTTAAATATGAATTGTTAAATAAATATTGTAAAAATATTGAAGTTAAATTAATATTTAATGTTATTACAAGTTTCTTTTATTCCTCTTATATTTAGGTAGGTAAACTACACTAAAACCCGGGTATTTAGTCTACCTACGTAGGTACCCACTAAAATATGCCCGAGTCACCGGGTAATCATAGAACTGACAAACTTTTTTTTTTTATTTATGTATTCTTTATTGTACCTACACATCATCAAAAATTTAAACACACACACACAACAATAGAGTGTAGGTACAATGGACAGTTTTATCACACACGGTGATATCTTCCAGACAACTTACTTAATCAAATCGCATCCATTCTTCTGTATTTAAATAATTAAACTATAAAGATCATTTAAATGCTATATAATAAGTACTTACTTAGTACGATTGCATCGTTATTATCAAGAGAATTCTTTATCAGTTACTCCGTAGTTCAGTCATAGAAAAATCGAGACCGCACATCGTGACCTAGATACCTATTCCTACACTCTGGATGTAACGACCTATAAAGCATCGAATGCAGAAGCGTGCAATTTCGTACTGCTTTTAAAAGTTAGGAAAACCAGTTAGCTATTACCTAATACTTATTTATATTTTAAATATCCAAGGAGTTTGAATACCGAGCCGATACAAGGAAGGAATCTAAAGTAGGTATCTACTTACCAAATTAAAAACAAACACTAACCTACCTCAACCAACGTTGGCCAGGTTATGTGTGCGAAAAAACAAACAATCGACGTTTTAAAACATCAATTTGAATATGGAATCAATCTTTTTATTAGCATGACATGGGTCATCTATTAACTCCTTTATGCGAAAACAGGTAACTTGTTTTATTAAGTTCAATGACCTCGGGAACCATTCAGGTTGCACCTAAGTACTTATTTAGACAATAAACCTTTTTGGACAGTGTTAAAAGAAAAAAAGAAAACAAACAAAGCGGTCTTTAGCTGCAAGTCTGCAACAGTTTGCAAAAGTCGGCCGAGAGTGCATAGCGGTGTCATTGATGTTAACTGGAGTTAAAAATAACTGACCAGTTTTTGCGCTTAATACAGAAGTGCATATATTTAATTCTTATAACAGTTTTTAACTTTAACTAAACAATAAATTTATGTTTTTAAAGTTAGGTGCGATTACGACTAAGGAAGTATTTTTGTAGTGGTGATTAGTTAACCAGTAAGTCCTTAAATGAGCTACAACCAAGTTAATATTAAACCCAGGTTCCAGACTTACGTGGAATGTTCACTACATCCATCACATTCCGACCTCCTTCTAGAACATTTCTCCGGCGAAATGTTCTTGGCATCCGCGTTCAACATGGACTTTCCTTCAATGATCCGTTTAAACAACATAATAGCAGGAGCAGGATTTGTTGTTTACGGCAATTGTCGCGTCTAAGACGAATGTTTGATTTGTTTAACACGATTGCAGATGACACTTTCTCAAAGGAGCGATTTTCCATTAGATTGGCAGAAGAGCCAATTTCACCTCTACTGCCAAGCTCGCACTGGAACTGGTAAACTTGCAGCAAGCCAGCGCAGCGGCCGTCCGATCGAATCAACAATGTGTGCCCCTCCCCGCACCTCAGCCCTGTGATGTCATAAAAGAAACCTTTGCCACAGACTAAAATAATGTTTACCAGAAATTATGAGACTTCTAAGTAATTTTACCATAAAAAATGTTTTAACGAAAGAAAAACCTATTCGAATTCTCAAAAAGCAAGTGTTATTGCTTTTGTATATTGGTATAAGCGATATATTCATCAAAATATGTACGTTGATTAACTGTTTAAGTTAGCCTGTGGTATCTTTGCCTTTATTAGTGTGCCAAAAGAAAATCATATTATTCTAACAACGTCATGTATGAAAACAATTAAATTATAATATCTGTTTAAAAAAAAGTAAACGGTAAATCTCTATTTAAAATTGTAGATTTTTATTTACATGTACGGTATGTAAATAAAAATCTACAATTTAAAAAATATTCCTCTAGGAAGTTAAAAAGCACGATGCAAAGCCGCGTAAGTACTAACCATTTTCTTTCCTGTAAGTCTAATTATTAAACAACATTTATATATGTATTAAACAAGAATAAGTACAAATAAAATTATTCCGTGTAGTTAATAAAATAATAATAAAATTTATTTTGTGCACAGTAATAAAGACGCACTAGCACGTGGAGTGCGCATGTTCACAGCGTGGTCGTGCCCCCTCACGCCGCGCGCCGCTCCATTCCCCTCTCCAACCACATTCCCCTCGGCATCAGCTGATCACGCAGCAACAGCGTGCACAAAGCCGGTTCGCGTGAATCGCATAATATGACTATGTATACAAACAATACCAAGGTAGTTAGTAAGTAGATATGTACCTATATGCAATATGCACGTAGTATTTTCCGTTCCTTGCACCAATAATATGAAACATGACACGGTGTGTATGCAACGTTAGTGAGTTTTTTTTTAATTTAAATGAAATCTACTGTATATGCTGGAAGGGAGAACACGATCTCTTTTTTTCAATGTAGATACACAAACAGCAATCTGTTGTCGCTTTCCCATTAAACTAATAAACCAACTTTTAAAATTTTACTCAATTGGTCCCCATGTAGGTACTCATTGTTTTCAAAACGTTTAGGTATGAGCATTGAGAAGTAACTAACACAATAAATGTCTTATTATTATAATTTGATGACCCGGAAAACAATTACAGCTTGTTAGAGAAAGCAAACTAATTACCTAAAAGTAAATCGTGAACGATTAACACAGATGCTCTTAAACTTACAGATGCAGTTGCACAAAGGTTAAAAATAAGAATGTACTTATGTATTTATTTTTAGCTTTTTAGTTCTGTCTACCGTATGTGCGAACAAAGAGAATATTATAATAGTAAGCATGTACCTATAATTTAAGTATTTATTATTAAAATATAGCATGGTTGCAGAATGCTCAATCAGTATTGAGCCATGGTATTGAGCAGATATCGGAAGATTGAAAGTGATTTGCCAGGCTACAAAAATATATGCTTAAATATATGCTTTTTGTTAAGGCTGGAAAACAAAATATTTGTATTTATAAAACGAATTTAAAGTTAAGTCAGAGTGCTTATTTGATAGTAGATTTTTTTAAATTATTACTTAGTTTTATTGGTCACTCTGTAACAGTGTTGACCTATAGCTGATGGCTTAAAGGACTTGTATCCAGGCCATAAATTCCAAAAAAATAGACCTATAGCTGAAAAATTGACAATGGCAGACTGGCACTTTTTGGCATTGTCAACGAAGTGTCAAACGAACTGAGATGCTAAGCTTCGTGGATGGAGTATATCTTCTGTGAAACAAAATAATTGTACCGATAACAACCCAATCTTTGTGTTGACTGAGACATCATATAAGTCAATTACCATGGCATCTCATTTGAGTACTAAAGACCGACTTCTGGCGCTAATTGATGATATTGAGTTGATTTCAAAGTAAGTACCTAGTATAAGATTTCTTAAATGAAAATGAAAACATTATTGTAACAATAACTTGTTGCTACAGAGAAATGATTGAAGTGTCGATAGCTCCGAAACCTCAAAAACTTTCTGCGGCAGACCATGCACAGTTAACAGAGTTATTGCTCTCAAAAGATTCAGAGTTGAAGAAAGCTTTAGAATTAGCTGATGAACAGGCTAAGATTCAACAAAAAATGAATGACTTGAAAGCAGAAGTAGAAAATAAGGTAAAGTAGATGTAAAATCATATACTTAACAGATTTCTATAAAAAAAACAACATTATTTTAAAATATTTTTTTTGGTTGTAGGATCAAGACATCTTCCATTTACAAAGGCAACTAAAAGATGCGGAACAAATTCTCGCAACGTCATTATATCAAGCTAGACAGAAACTTGCATCAATAGTTAAATCTAGAAAACGACCGGTACCATCAGAAGAATTGATTAAGTTTGCACACAGGTGAGTTTAATTTCAAGTCTCATTGTTAAAACACTGACATTATATATTTTATAACTGAATTTCTTATTTATCCCTAGTCTTAAATAAATAATTATATTAATTCAATATACTTACTTTAATATCTTGTATATGAATCAATTCACAGAATCAGTGCATCAAATGCAGTGAGTGCACCTCTTTCCTGGCAGCCTGGCGATCCTCGTCGTCCATACCCCACAGATCTAGAGATGAGGTTAGGTATGCTTGGCCGGCTCTGTGACTTGCCACTGAATGGACACACTCCATCCACACTAAATGAACTGCACAGAATGACCACAGGCGGAGGTGAGTCATGTCACTTATTAATTTACTTAGAAATGTATTCTCATTTGTATATTGAAATCTTTTTAATTGCAATTATGGGTATTTCCAAGCTTGAATAATGTTTATGTTGCAGCAAATGCCAGTGTGCAGTGCACTTCCTCCTTTAGTTGTACACATATAAATGTCTAATGACACATCACATAAATCTGGCTTTATTGCAAGTTTTCTTTGTCATTATACAAAGCTATCACATACATATGTAATATGTAAAGCTTTATACCTTTGTTCCATGAAGGCAGACCTAAAACTATAGGATGCTACAATCTTTGTACATAATTATGTTTGATAACATTCATGCATCCTGGTCATACATACATACACCTGTCTTAACACAAATCAAATAATAATGTGTTGTCTATGTTGTTTATAGTGCCAGCATCAGCTACAAACCAGTTCACATGGCACCCATCAGGTGAGCTCCACATGTCAGTTGGAGGTGGAAACTCGGTGTCCATCGACAGCCGCGGCAAGGACGCGCCAAATCAGGAAGATGTGGAAGTGATGTCCACCGACTCAAGTTCAAGTTCAAGCAGTGACTCTCAATGAATAAGGAAGAAAATGTGTTTACGACACAAATAAATGTTGTAATAACTTTGAAAAGTTTTTGTTGAAGTTCAAAAAACTGTGTGGAACTAAGTGATTTTTGTTGGACATTGCAATATCAGATTTAAAGACTGTTTTTATATTATAATCTGTAATGTAATTTTATGTACTATGATTTTAGGCATAATTTACTTATTAAAATACTATTCAATTCTTTGCATTTTATATGTTTTATTTTAAGTATAAGTTAATGTATTTTTTTAAGATGTTAATGTGACAGTTAGTACTTTGGATATGGAATTGTATATGAGAGGAAGTATATAAGATTTCTACTGTAATGTAATGCAATCATCATCATCATCAGCAGCAGCAGCAGCAGCTTATAAGTGCTCATTGATGAGCAATGGTCTCATTTCTTACGGAGAAGGTTGGAGTATTAATCACCACGCTTACTCAAGGCGAATTGGCGATTTCAAACTTATAATAGGAACTAGAAGTCCAGGTTTCCTCACGATGTTTTGCTTCATCGTATATGGTGTCCTAATGAACTAAGAAAGTACATACTTATGACTCGGAAATATATGTACTTGCCAGGTTGCTAACCTATCTCCTCATGCATGAGAAGCAGGCGCCTAAACCCGCGGGCCACCACGACACTGTAATTTCATTATTCCATCATAATTAACAGTTACTTAGTTTCCTTTCTTGTGGGGACACCTCTTTGTGTGGGTTGTCACCTAAGGCACTGATGGTTGTGGTGAACTCTGAAAATCACACGGTTCACCTTCCTACGTTTACGTACATTCCTATAAACCACGTTCCAGACCAGGTGCGCCCTAGTTTGCTCGCAACTCGAATCCTTTAACTTGTACCTATTAGAACTTATATTTACTACCTACTATGAATACTTACCTATATTCGTAAATTCATATTGCCTTTATAACAGCTGAAACTGAGAAGCATGCTGAAACACATTTTTAATGACTTCTCTCGCCCAGGATACCCAAAGCGAAACAGTGTCAGACTTTTAGCAGCTAAAAACCCCCGTTCCTTCTCCTGCTCTTAGGTGGAGGCAGTTCACACAAGTCACAAGGCAACCTTATTGCGCTTGACCTGCAACCCCAGCTAAACATGGGCCCTTTTAGGTTCCATTTGTGGTAGTCAGTCACCATGAATGGAGCTCAGAATACAGTGTTCTGTATTCTGAGGAATGGAGTTAAATCACTTTGGTATTGCCAAAGAGTAGGTATTGCTATGCAACAGGCAGTCACTATGGAAACGAAACTTTGTTTACAATACAAGACGTATCGTTAAATCGACATTGATATTTCTAGTCTCGAAAATAAAAACAGACAAAATAATAGTCAATAAAATAATTAGGTATATTTGTAAAAATGGCTGAAAGAGCACCCGTATCCACAGAAGAAACTCTAGTTCGTTATGACAATCCCGTGCTAGTGGTTACCAAAAGGGCTGAAAAAGTAAGCAGTTCATGTCAAAGTGATGACAAAAACGATCCCAGTGGCCTCAACTGGTTTTTGACAAACTCTTTCAGGTATCGTCTGGGATAGCTGGTTCCTCTGTCCAACCTTGTGTCCCCACGGAAGCTAAGAAAGAAACTGAAGAGATTTTGAACGCTATATTACCGCCAAAGGAATGGGAGGAAGATGGACAAATATGGACTCAAAAGGTGCTGAATTTGTGATTTTAGCGACAATAGAATAGATAGGTCCTATATTCCTGTTAGTGTTTGCTCACCATAAAATGCACCTATGCTAATTTATTTGAATGTTCGATATCTATAAGTAGATATACATACTTACAGACTATTTTTATTGTTCGAAAATGATCCAGTGATTTCTCCCGCTCTGGGTGGGCCGAAAGGGAGTGTCACATTCTTGCTGACTAAAAACTTGGCTGTTCGTACCTACTCCTTCAAACCAGACTACATTATTGCGGAAATGTAGATTCCTTCTGTCCTACTACTGAATATAGGTAGGTACTTACATCTGTTATCTTTATAAAATGCCTCTTCTTATCCAATCAGATATCGTCGACTCCTGCGACGCGGTTGGATGTGATAAATCTACAAGAAATGCTCGACACACGCTTGCAACAGCGGCAAGCTAGAGAGACAGGCATTTGTCCTGTGCGTAGACAGCTATATACGCAATGCTTCGATGAACTTATACGACAGGTTAGTAGGTAGCTTTTTTTTGAGGGGAATCATCAAAAATGACTTCTCCCGCCTAGGGCCGGGCGGGAGGGAGTGTCAGACTCTTACTGACTAAAAACCCCTTGTTCCTTCTCCTGCTCTGGGCCGAGGCCGCGGTGCCTCATTGCGCTTACCCCGCAACCCCGGCAGTCGGTAGCTAACATTTAATTTTATTCAATAGCATTTTTCTAATATGTAGGTACATGTGCACACATCTTACCTACTACTGATTTAGTAGGCAGGTTGATAGAACGCCTCAGCTAGGTTTTTATATAGGTAGCTGCATCATCAAATCCCTAGACTTACCTAGATTTGTTCCACATGTGACCAAATGCATCCTCTCTTTTTGATACTGTAAAATGCGAGCGGAAATTGCCGCCAACCCCCTACACATTTTTTAGCTCCTGTATGTCTTCTGGGTGTCAAAGATAAACAGATGTACCTTTTCGACTGCAAGCCTTTCAATTTCTGCAGGTAACAATAAATTGTGGCGAAAGAGGTCTCCTACTACTAAGAGTAAGAGATGAAGCAAGGATCACGATGGAAGCTTACCAAACGCTCTATTGTAGTTCCATTGCTTTTGGTATGAGGAAAGCTTTACAGGTATGTCGTGGACTCTTTACTAACAGTCTTTTAACCGAGAATGATAAAAGATGTATCTAATTGACTTACAATTGAAATGCAAAAATAAATTCATTGTTTCAATTAGATACATCTTGCTTCTTGCCTTTCTACTGTATTTAAAGTCGTGTCACTACGTTTAAAATGGACTAGGCTGGTTATATCAGTATTTAACATGTAGATAGTTGCCGTGTCTGCTTTTAAGGACCAAGGGCGTCAAGTCACATTTTCGATCAGACACTTTGTCACATTTTTGTAAAAGATTGGACTCATTTCGTTTTACAGTCTGAACAAGGAAAATCAGACTTAATGGATCAAGTGGCAAAGTTGGAATCTGAACGTTCAGCTTTGGAGAAACAATGTATGGAGTTGAAACAAAAGACTGAGCAGCTGGAAAGACGCGCGGCTGAGCTAAGAGCTGCAGAAGAGAAACGCCACCAAGAAGAGTTGCTTGCTTTGAAGAAGACAAATGCTCAACTTAAGGTAAGTGTAGTTTATATGACTAGTATATGTTTAACATGGAAGAATATTGGGCCGGCTCGACGGGAGATACCGCGGCTTTACAGAAACTGGCATAGAAAAATAGGTACGCTTATTTTGTGTTTAAAATCAATTTCTAAGATCTGCAAAGCACTTGTTACTTTTCTGGTGTTGCAATGGGCAACACTGATTGCTACCCATCAGGTACATCGTCTGCTCGTTTGCCGCTCTATGCCAAATATAAACAAAATGTAATTGTCTTGTTGTATTTGGTTTGCCTTGTATTTGTTTACTTCATTATGGCAAATAGGGATAAAAATGAGATGTTGTTCCTGATTTTGTTAATACATATCTATTGCCTATAATATTAAATACTTTGACAAGTTGATGTACCTTTCAATATTTGTTTTCAGGCTCAACTGGAAGGCATCATAGCACCAAAGAAGTAAAAGTATTAAATTCGTTAACTTTTTTTAAGATATTTTTCTTGTCCTTATTAGATTATGAACATTTGAATTGTTTCTTAGATATATTATAGACTAAATAAAGTTACAGTTAATCTATATGAAGTTTGAATTAAAACAAAGCAATAATTTTATTAAAATATATATTAAAACATTTAATTGGGACAAACATACAATGTTTTCAATAGTTTACAATGCACATATCACTAGAAAGGTATAAAGGACACGCATTCTTCCATTCAACTCTTCCATTTTATTTACCGTGACACATAATTTTCTTCATAATATAAACTCAAATAATACATTTCATACAGCCGGAAATGTACACTTTGTAATAACATGGGAACATTTACAGCAATACTAACTTAATATAAACTCTACGGTCAAACTGATGCAAATGCGTTCATCACGTTCTGTAGGACAAAACCATTGTATTCTAACTTAATGTAAAATTTCAAAAACAAAATTACAATAATAATAAAATTAAAACATTATGAAGTCTGAAAGATAAAATCATATAATTATATAAAATTGATTCAATTAAATCAAGGCACCACATAAAATAATTAAATTATTATAATATTACATTAAATTAAAATATTAATACAGCATAAACACAAAATACTGAATGAAACAACAATGCGCAAATAAAATAGTATTAATGCAAGTACAGGGTGATATAATTATGTTATATCGCCAAATGTGATGCCACTGTGTACACTTGCGTCGCATTCCATTGCGTGTTGTTGATGGTATGTACACGTTTAATATCATCTTACACTCGCCTACATTCACAGTCTGATCGGTCAACCAGTCACATTCCTCAGCAGGTACAGCATCAACATTCAGTCAAAAAACTTGCACGGAATGAAAATCATTTAAAATTAAATACGTAAAGTATCCAAAGAATAATAACTATTAATATTTCCAAAAAATATATAGTAACACCTATAATTATTCTAAAATCTCCGTCGCAAAATTAAAATAAAAAAATAAAAATTGTGATAAAAATGCCACAAAACGTATCTCGCTAGTGGATTTCTTCAAGCGCCTTTAAGTAACATAACAAGTCGGTGGAATCTAAATTTATTATCACAGTTACAATACAAAATTAAGATGGAAACTCGTTTCACAAACGTTCGTTTCGTTGAAGAAATCTACAATCGAGTTCGATGCTCGACGGGGGTCGAGTCGTGTCTATTAGAGGTGTGGATCTAGCCGATATGTTGTCATGGGATAGTTTCTTCAGGTAGGTAAGGGAGCGGAGATTGAGGCGTGGTAGGATAGAGATCTAGAGTGAGTGTGGTCTACTGAGGTTGTTCTGTGTAGGCGGTGACGCGATGGGTGGGCCCCACGGGGATGGCGGTGACGCGGCCCGCGCCGCCGTCCAGTAAGGGGTTCACCACCTGGACGATGTCCGGCTGCAGCGAATTATCTCCGCCTTCCATTTCCGCCTCTCCTAAGCTAATACCAGCCTCTTCAAGGTCGGTAGGAGCTGTTTCACTACTCGGGCTAGTTGTTAATTCCAGAGAAATAATCTTTTCTTGCGTCGTTTCCACCTGTATTTTAATAAAGACAATTAATTTTGACGTCATTTAATATTTCCGCCTGTGTTACGTACAAATGAAATATGGTATGACTGTAATTTGATTATATATTACAAACCATGAACTGAACCTTAAAAAGAACACTGGCTTTAAAATAAATGTCTTAAATCAAATGATGTTCTTGAAGTATATTTAAGAACAAAATTATGAATGTCAAATTGATGAGTCGGTAAATGATAAAATTGAAATGTTATTGTATTTAGTGCGCAGAATTGTGACCAAATAATAATTATAATACATATAATAAAAAATTATAATACAACAAAAATTTTTATTATATACATATATATATAATAAAAAATTATAATACAACACAACACAACATCAAAAGCATAATATGCAATAAAGGTCACAACTTTGGGCACTTTGTAGGTAAGGAAGTGGACATGCACTAAATAAATTGTTATTACTATAATATACTAGCTTTAGTGAGTTAGTATTGCTTATGCTGCTAAAGCAATGAAGTAAGCTTTAGTATATATTTCTGAAGAGTAATAAACGCAACAAACCATTATTTTCGTCGAAGCTTGCCGTGTCTAGAATCCAGGTATCGTCTGACAAATTACACAATAAATTAAGTTAGCATGCCATGCCAAATATCATGCAACACTCGTGACAACATTAAACAGATAATAAATAAGAAGAAATAAAAGAAAGTATAAGAGGAAACCTTGGGAATCGGGGTACTGTCAAATGGGGCAAATAAATTGTATATAACATGGTATTTATAACAACATAGGTGTTCCATACATCGAGTCCTGTTATTGCCACGTCGATTTTAGTTCTACATAACGTGAGTGTAGGGTACTACGTGATTATCTACATTTCGTTTTATTTTTCATGGAAATTTGTGTAATCAGGTATTAAAGTACATCATTGATAGTTATTTAACCAAATTCTACTAGCAGTACTAGCCACGCTACCATCGGCAATTGTTATTTACAGTTTTTGTTTTCTATTAAAATATTACCACTAACCTTTTTTAATTTAAGTACTTAATAAAAAACAAAAGTAGGTATGCTTGCAAGAGAGAAATGATTAAAACAGTTAAAATATTTCCTGGATATATACTTATCATTAAACTATTTTATTTTGTTGTAGAATTTGGCAAAATAACTATAAATAGACGTTTTAATAAGTGATTCGACAATTTCCCTTAAACATCTACTGCAGTTGTGGTGTTCCAAGTTTAATTTGTGCTGAATAGTGTGTATCGTTATGTGCACTAGGCCCCGTTAACATTTTAGTGTTTATACACACATAGTTGATCTTTGTCAGTCGATTTACTTCATTGTCTTGATACAAGTATCATATCGTTGGTCAGTCGCTCTAGTACGGTCGGATCTATTGTCTGTCGTCATAGTTGCACGTTGAAAGCTAAGCGTAGTTGTAAAGATATACAAAAGATAATAAAAACCACACGATACGGCATTGCTTGTGTACAGCGTCTTACGTAGCACAATGTACAATCGCGGCGTCATACGCGTACCTCTTTCTCAATGACTTTCTCAATGTACTCGACGGTTCGCACTTTAGTCTCGCCGGTTGCGGGGCACACGAACTCCTCGGTGCGGAGAGTAATGCGCTCGTCTAACAACTTTTCTTTCTCCTTGACGGCCAGTATAGGGCCGGGTTTTGTACGTAACGCGATACGTGGCAGGGGCCATTTCTATAATTTGTAAAGCCAATATTGACATACGCAGCCCATGGTGAACGTACAATAATATGCCAACCAAGCGACATTGATCCCCACCCATAAGACAAACATTTACCACATTGTGTTAGTTCAACATAAGTACTGTTACTGGTACAGGTACTTGCAACAAGACATCCGTTCAAATGTAATGCAAATTGAATACAGACGGATCTAGGCCAGACTTTATCAATTGCTTACTGGACAAAGACAAATATTGGATCAGTGTTAATCACAATGTTAACAGTTACAGACAGACAAACAAATGGAATATTATTGGATTATATGATAAAACATTCTTAACCTGAAATGGAAAAAAGTCTACTTGTTAATTGGACTTTTATTTTAATGCCTTGGTGAAATACTTTTTTCCATTTTCAGAACCGGTTGCTTTAGTGTTATAATTTGGACAACATTCGTTTAATTCAAGACACAAGACTCATGTGAATAATATTTACCTCATTAGACGAGTTTTCCCGCGGTGGATCTTCTAGGATATCATTCGCTGGCCCCACCATGCTTTTTATTACTTTCTGTGATTCGAGGGCCTCCTAAATATGCCAAATACAATTTTATTATACAGATATGTATATAAAAAATCGAATATTAAAGAAAATAAAACTAAAAAGGAAGCATCCATAGCGTCCAACTTTCCCTTTAGTTCCGGGCATGTCCGTTAATTGACTTTCATGTATGGAACTTCTTTTATTCACGGAACACGATCATGCAAGAAGTTTGAATCTTTTGTACAAGCTATTTAGTAAAATTTGTTACTGATACTACATTTTTTTTGCTCACCAGATGGCGCCAAAGTGGCCCCTTAAATCATCAAATGGCTCACCCGCCCAGGGCGGTTGGGAGGAAGTGTGAGACTCTTACAGACTAAAAACCCCCGTTCCTTCTGCTATTGGCCGAGGCCGCTTTGCATAATTGCGCTTACCCATATTGTATATATGATAATAGTATGGCCCCTTGAGATTAGCGCCATGGCGCCATCTGATGGGCAAATAAAGGGTACCCAACATTACCAGAGTGGAGTTAGCTGTAATTCTGATGCCTAACCTGTTCGAGTGATCGTAATCGTGCGGCGCGCCACGCGGCTCGCCTTGCAGCGCGCGTGGCCGCGTCTTCAACTTCACCGTCGCGGGCCGCGCGCCGTCTTTGTGATTTCGCTGACGGACTCACGCCCCCAGACACACTGAAATAACAAAAACACGACTTTATGAATCTATACTATTATTGTAAAGGGGTAAAATTTGTAAGTGTGTAAGTCTTTAAAACCGCTCGTCGGTTTCTTTCACCGATAAATACAATATTCCTTGGTGCTATAAACATCACCCTACTACTAATAGGAGCTCGACAACGATATGTAATATTTTTGGTGTTTATAATCGAAAATTTGACTTACACGTCATAAAGGACCCTTATCACGTAGTAAGAAAGAAAAATACTAAAGATTTTATGTCAAAACGGATTAGATCCAATTACATTAACAACAAAAAATATCAATATTCATGAGTTCCTTTCGCAGGCCGTCAAAAAAATAAGTTAACGATGTTATACCTATGGCCATTCTCGTAAGGTTCGTCGTCGGAATGTGAGCTATATCCACTCTGTCGGTCCTCCCCTGGGGACCACGAGCCGAGCTCTGATCGCGACAGAGAGGCCATCTTCCTTTCCTCTTCTTGCTTCAATTTCTCCACCTCATCCGCTGATAGGAATGTGAAAACTTTCTCTGTAAATATTAATTACATCCAATTAATGACTTCGACGGAGTGATACCAAGGCCACAAGAGAAAGCTGGCATGAAATAACGCTAGCATTGTCTTTCGCATTGGAAATCGTTTCCATAATAAATAATAAAGAAATCAATATAATTAAATTTAAAGAAAAGAATATAAACACACTATTTATTTAAATAATGGTTACCTGGCTTGGGCGATGGTTTGTGACTTTCTTCCATAGCATTTTCGAAGAACTTCTTCTTATCGCTGACCGAGGCTTTCACAAAATTACCAGAATGAGGTGGGGAAGCCTGAGAACATATTGACAATTTGATTAGATACACTTACTAATAATTGCACACGTTTTGATCAAATAAATAATGAGTTAAAAAAGCTCATGATATTTACAAGCGTTGAAATACCCTTCTCCAGGCTTCACACCCATGCAGTCAATGTTTTAATAAATAATAAAAATAAAGTTATTGCGGTTAGTCAATTAAACATGCAAAATATAAGTAATTGCAAGTTAAAAACAATAATTCAATGGGGGTAAGTAACAAAATGGGATATGGAGGGATGATAGACTAGACTATGTGGTTTTTAGTCAAAATTCCAGGTTGGGTTGTCGACGAACACAATCAAAAGAAGCTGAGTGTGTGTGTGCGAGGATAAGATTCCGTACATTGATGTTTACCTCGCCGATGGCGAAGGATTTGATTTTGCTGCTCCATGCGGGTTTCAGGGCGGATGCGGGCGTGGGGCTCCCTTCCCTCAAGGGATCCGAACTGTTCGACATTCTATCGGTTTCGGGCACTGTAGTCACCTCACCGAAACGAACTCTTCTCTCTGATTGAACACTTTTAGGCGCATCATCGTAATTAGTGGGGACAGGTGAAGTGATATTCGCATTTATGTCTTGTCCTAATGTACTGACTAGAGCGGGCTGTGATTTATGACTTGTATTGCCAATTTGATTGGAAGAACATACTGGGATTGTGCAAGTGTATGGATTGTACGTTCCAGCGACAGTCGTTAGAGACGGGTAGGGATTAATTGGAGGGTACGTGTTAGAATGAACCATACCCGGTGAAATATTTTCTGTTCTCAGGTCTCGTAATGAACGGTGTACCGGTACATACATTGGTCTTTGATCAAGATAGGTTTGATCAGGATGTAAATTACATGGAGAATTAGGGACATGAGACACGGTAGGAAGAGTTTTGTACTGAGCGTGTAGCAACGCAGGTGGATCAGGTTCTCCAATAGGACTGACAGAAAGTTCTTTATAAAACTCAGGCTCTGCTACAGGAAAATCTGAAGTACGGAAGACTTGGTTTGCAGGCACTGTTGATACTATAACCGAACGGACCGGCGTATCGATAACGGCCTGATCCGATACTAAATGTGGAAATGCGGTGTAATTTACAGGAGGGGGAACTTCGGTTTCGGGAGAATTTGTGGAATTTGAGGACTGCATGGATGTTTCGGCCACCGCAGGTTCCGGCAGCACAATCCGCTCAGGAATAACAGTGATCGGAGGTAGAATTGCCTCGGTATCTTCATCGTCAACTAATTCACTATCACTTACGTAAGTGTCGAACAAAGGCGGAGGAGGGATGATGAGGTCGGCGTGAAGTACTCGACTCGCTTTAGGGACCGGTCTCGAGACTTCCAGTTCGGTAGACGTTTGGTTTCGGATTAGTAAAGAGCTGAACCCCTCGCATGCATCGTTAGTGTCAATGGTCATAGGCCCCGATTGTTCGTCATCATGCACGTCATGCAATGAGGGTCGGAAATTCGTATTCGTATCGTTTGTCGACAAGAAGTATTCAGGTTCATCCATCGGTTCTTGTGTGAAACTAACTCGCTTCGTTTGTGGTTTGCGAGGCACTTGAGGCTTTTGAGTGGCGGGAGGCGCAGGGGGCGCGGGTGGTGGTCTGGTGGGGCGCTGCAGGCGCGCGGGCCCCGGGCTGACCGGGCTGGCCGGCGCGGCCGGGGACCCGGGCTGGCCGAGGGGAGGCTGGGCGGAGGGGGGCGGCGTCCGAACCTTCTGCTGCGTAAACACCGCGAGCGGCGAGGGGGGCGCCGCTTGCGAACTAGACGACTAACCAAACCAACAAAATATACTGCACCACTCTGTACTTACGCAACTCATTACTTTGGCTAAATACGGCTAAAAGAAAGACCAAAACAAAGTGCTAAATACTCGAGCGTATTCACGAAATGAGCCAAACATAATTCATTATCGTTTCGTACATCGAACAATAGCAAAGCTACTTGCACGAAAATATGAATACGAAAATCAATAAACAATATATCATTATTTAGCATAAAACCAAAAGCCTATATCAGCGACGAACAAAAATCTTCCAAAATAAATGTTATTGAAAAATGCTAACATAATAAAAAACAAAAAAAAACGTCATGTGAAACATCATGTATTTTAATGCAACACTAAACATAACGTCAATTAGAACAATATTTTTGTACAATAAAAAGTAAACGAGTAAATTTAAACGCACAATAGTTTATCAAATGTAAAATAATTGGCAGTTGAGAAGTTAATTTGGCCAAACATCTTAATGTTAATTCTTACACAAATGTAAATCAATTGATAACATTTTAACGAATGTTGGTGTCCAATATTGGCACCAATTTAACTAACAAATAAATTTATAAACACTGTCAAAAAGTTGGAAGCGAAGTATAAACATTCAAAAAATTCGACGTCACTATATTATGTACGGATAAGTATATTCATAGAACTGATCTATTCAGACAAAAGGGGATAAACAGGTATATAAAATTGGTCTTTTGGATAGAAGATTACATAGAATACAACATGTTACAAATATAGGTGAGTATTTTGATGTGTTATAGAATGTTGACTACACATTATTATTATTATAAATTGGTCATAACGGACTGAGTAATAATTTCAAAATGTTATTGTGTTATCAATGGAGTAAATGCGTTACATATGTAGGTAAATTCGGAACTATTATTTCAAATACAAATGAAGCTAATATAGGTTATGTCAGTTGTATAATTGGTATAATATGATATCAAATAGGTAAAGGCAATATCACAAACTATGAAATATAATAGTATGGATTGTTCACTTGTTAAGGTTGAATACTATCTAACGCTTCAATGTATTGATAAATGCTAAAACAGTACCTAGTTCAAACTAAAATATAGTCAAGACGTACATCATGTTAATTTAACTACATATACCCTTCTCCTTACATGCTAGATACAATGATAAATTTTGCTATTATATACATTTACCATTTCATTTATATTTCATAATGAACGTTTTCATGTCGTACATGTAGTTGATTATAGGATTACACAATGTTTAACGAAAACGCGAAGCCAAAACGACATTTAGACGAAGTAGTAGAATTACGGACATTATTCATAACATAATTATAAAAAGACGGACATACAAGTCGATCAGTGCAACTAAACAACACTGCCGTGGTACATTTAGTGTTTCTCAATTCAAACATTCATTTTATTTTTAACATTTATAATATCAATTAACTAAAATATTAAATGGATAATTATTATTATTATATTTTTTATTATAATATATATATTTACGGTTGATAACACAGTTCACAGATAGTTTAACACAGATATAAGTTTACTGGACATGTTAGTATCCGTTTAGTTTACTGAACGTTACTTATGTACAGTGTATGGACAGAAGTTAACATTGCCGTACTATGTGTTTTCCTCCTTTTCCTCAATGGATGCATTCTGCAATGGACGTAATACGCTTTGTCATTATTTTATAACCAATAGGGGTCGTCCTCTAAGCAGAACCCGTACACAAGCTAACACATGACGACATTGAACTAAGCTACATTAAATTAAAATAAGAACTGAACAACATCGTCTCGCTATAAGGTACTAATAGTACTAGGGTACACTTAGAAGTTCTATTACAATTCCATTATGTAGACGTCCCAACAGAGAGAACTTAAAGAAACTGAGGATACATGCAAACAGTCCTTAGAGGTCAATATATAGTTGGTACATTTACAGACATAACACAGAAAGTTCGCCGTAAAAGATGGTGTACTGAAACTGCCTGTAAAGTGCCACCCTTCCTTCATACAACCAGCTACGTATTAAAGGCTTATGGAGATATACTAAACAACATTTATTTTGGAAGACAAGGAGTTTAATATACGAATAGTATACTTAAAGTACTTAATACAGATATTCATTGTACGTATATTTTCATGCAAGCAATATTTATACTACAAAATATACATAGTGCATGCTAACTTAATAGTCAAGGTAACCGTGCAATAAAGTAATACAGCAGAGTTGTTTCGGCCTTTATAGCAATATTAAGTTAATAAGAAGTATAATACAAAGCTATACTTTATTTCATGCTATAAACTTTCCAATGATATCAAAATATAAAGCTTATTCAAGGAGTATATTGTTAATATCAAATTGGAAAATATAGTATAATGTAATAAACTACATGCAATAAAGTTCAAATTATTTACAGTTAGATACAGAATAAGGTATTAAGTAAGTAATTATTGAACTTTGAAAGACAAGAAATTAGTGTTGTTTTGAATTATTCTGTGTCCATCTGTGAAGATTTATATTTGGGTAGACAAAATAGAAAGACGCGGCTAAATATTAAGAAATATTCTCTACTAAGTAGCCGCGTCTTTAAGAATTTGAATTGGAAATTGTTATTTGTCTAGCATTTCAATGGGGATATTTAACTAGCTTTTTATTTAGCTTTGGAATGTTTCTTAGAGAAGTATTGTATATACAGGGTCACTAACCTGAGGTTGAAGTGTGTGTTTGGACATGACGACGGTGGTCGTCTTGTGTTGCAGTTCTGGAGATATCGGAGGTGCGGGCTCGAGAGCCATGCTCTCTACGGCGTGAACTATATCTAACACCTGGAACGTTGTTAGGGAAAATTAGACATAATGAACTAGGTAGTAATAGCCACATATTTATAAATTTCTAATATCTAAACTGATTGGCCTCAAAAGATCTTACACCTTTCTAGTGTCAACTGATAATCACAAAAGTAATAAAGCGTTAAAAAAGTTAACCAACCTTTTCGGGTGTAGACTTTTCCCTCATTTCTGCGACTTGCTTCTCGTGTTCAAACTCAACAAGGTCCTGTTGGAACTGTTGCTCCTGTAATAATAAATATAAAACAAATGAAGTCTAATACATTATTTGACCAAAGTCGTAATCTTACTACGAGTAGTTCTGGTAAGGAATAGTTGTAATTCTTTACTACAGTTGAATAATAGATGTCAATCGATAGCTTCTATTTACTGCGAGAAACAGAAATTGAATTCAAATGTAAAATAATTTTATATCCAAAGCTTATAGTGATTGTGTAAACTGTACAGCTGAACGAAATGGAAAATAGAAAAGGAAAACCATGCGAAATCATTAAAGAAAAGAAAAAAGGAAGCACAAACAATACTAACCGGTTGATGTTGGTGCAACGGTTCGTCTCTGTCCAGGCTTGACGTTGAGTGCGACAGAGAGCCGCCCGTATCCGCTGTCCCGCTCTCGCTACCGGTCTGTGCAAATATTTCGTTCGTCTATCTCTTTCTAACACGCTTGTATACAAGCAGGGTGTATAAAACGCACTCGGGGGCGTGCTTAGTCAAAGTGGCAATTAAAAAATAAGAGTCAAAAGATGATATTTGAAAAGCGTGTGTGCAGGCATAGTTAAAATCAATATTTTATGTTGTTTAGGTTGGATTATGTTGCAAAACAAACAAATATAAAACACACGATGGGTCTCAGAAACAGAATTAATTTTTTAAGGATTTATAAAAGGTTTTGGTGAATTATCTTACAGTGATCTTCTCCGGCCTAGTGTATCCATAGCACACGACGAGATGTAGAGGCGCGTTGGTTGCCGAGCGCAGAGCGTTCACCGCTTCGTTGTGAGTCGCGCCCAGCAATGATACGCCGTTCACTTCTAACAGACGCATCCCAACCTAGAAGTTTTTATTAATATTTTTTCAGTAACAATTTTAAGTTTTAGTGTATTCACTTTATTGTATTAAATTAAACTTTATCGAAGTCGTGGAAAAATTGTCATTACAAGTTGGCAAGTTGGTTTTCGTGATTCGTCGAGCATGAATTACTTGATTGGTGACATACCTTCAGTCTGCCGTCTCTCCTCGCGGCTCCACCGCTGTTTATCTTCGATATGAAGACACCCTCGTCATTTGGATCGTTAGGGTTGCCACGCTGACCGTTCAAACCGCCCTTTATGTGCATTCCTAGCTTCTCACCTTCTTGTTTGATTATTGTTAGGTCCTAAAGAACAAATTAAGTTGAAATCGAGGCAAAAAGAAAAACTGTATACGCATTTACTTTTCAAATCTATAAATTAAAAAAAATGAAAGTATGTCATTTCAAAAGGTAACTAAATAAATCTGTTCACTTAAACCACTACATTCACAAACACTTGGTACATGCAAAGCCACGACAAAAAATCATGCATTCAAGGTAACATAAGCTTTCATACTAAGTATTTACAAAATGCAATCTAGATAAATAAAAACCTAGCACATGACAGACAAAACTGTAAAGGGTGTAAGATTCTGTTTAATTGGCATGACAGTAGAAAGAGCTATAAGCAATATGGTATCTTAATAGATTTAAAGACGCGCTCTAAGTAGGAAAAGCTGTATTAGGAAATAACCATTCCGAATACGACGATAGCTGGGCACACGGACTGACTGGATGAGGGGTTGGAGACTGACATATATATTTGGTAAAGTAACACACATAAGTTCGAGATCGCCGAGCGACGTTCACACTTACAGTTGCGTCAACAATCTCAACTTGTATGAGACCCTGAACGTGGGGCGGTGGCCGTGTTGCGAACGTGTGGAACAAAACAATTCATTGCGTTTTATAACGACAGATAAATCAAATTCGTATCAACACATTTGTCACTGAACATGAAAAACGCTAGTAGATAAGCGACAGAATTCTTAGCGGAGACATACTAGTTGCTTTTGTCAGTATAAATGTTGAACAATCATGTGCATCAATGCATAAGCGTTATGCATACTCTTTAGTATTGTATACCGCCAAATGACTACTGTAAGCGACATTACTCAAATCATTCTACTCGTGAATTCACATTATGCGTTCAACTTCTCACCATTATAATCCACAAATTCGGTTACTTGCATAACATGCAAAACATTGCGCGGCTTACGTATGTGTTTGTATGTATACACAGATTACGAATATTCATAACAAGACATACCCAATGGTGGGGACTATGTTTGATTAGATTGAGAGTATTTGTCACAAGTAAACTGTTGATCACAGGCTATCTGAGTTGTGAGTTTGTGACACAGGATTGTACAAAAACTATTGACAAAACGCTTTTTTAATAAATATAACAAAGATTTTTAAGGACTGTTAATTGCTATTGTAGATGCTGTATGAAAAAGATAACGTGAACAATTCAGTGTTAGTCAAAATCGTTGAAAGAAAATCGTTAATTGCATATTATATTCAAGTGTCAATATCGATACATGATGTATTGTATAAGCAAGAAATCAATCAATCAATCAATCCCATGTCACGAAGAGCAATGTAGTGTAATGACGTCACAAACCTGGAATCCATTGGGCAGGGGATCGTGTCGTACAGTAAGAGTGAGAGTGGCGCCGGGTTGCAGCAACAGTTGCACGGCGTCGCGGTGCGTGGCTCCTGTGAGCTCTACGCCGTTCACCTTCAGCAGTCGGTCACCCATACGTAGTTTGCCTGAACGAGCTGCTACTCCACCAGGTACCACCTAATTACAAGGCAAAGGATTTTTATTTGCTATTGAATACAGTTACATAAAAGATGTTACAAAATGTCAATAAGTTCAGTATTCATTATATAATAACATTAACATTTCTTCGGAAAATTATATTGTAAATAAACTTTACTACAGTAGTAAGGATTGTCAATTAGACACCTATGTAATGCAATACTTAAGTATTAGTTACACACACAGATAAATAGAATTTTTGACTTGAATGATAAAGTGAAATATCTGTGACAGAAGACAGTTTGGCCAATGTACTAATATAAATTGTGTTATATTTTTTATTGGATCGTGATTAACGAGCATGCGTATCATACAGTGACAAAAAATGGACACTCTTTATAAACATAAATCTAGGCGTCGGACCTTTGCTGGGAGGTATTTTCTTGTAGCGCACTTTAATTGTTTTAAAATATTAGGATAAGGCAATTCGGGCCAGAGATCTATTTAATTTTATTTTGACATTATTTTATATTATGCTTAAACATTATGGAAATAAAAGCTACAATCCTAGATGTTTTTTATCAGTATTGTACTCACATGTGAAATAAATATTCCCGGTTCTTTACCACCGAATGGCACACACGAGTGGTCAGTGCCGCCAATAATACTGAACCCAAGAGATCCTCCTTCTTTGACTAAGATGACATCCTGCAACAAAATAAAAATCAAATGTAACATTAAATTAGTACATTTTGTTAATCAATCCTATTTCAAATTATTTTTTAACAGAATAACTCCACCGGGTAGTAGCTCTCTACCCGAGAAGTTATATTTGTTTTAGAAACAAATTGGCATGTTAGGGAAATTAAATATTTACTATTATTGAATTTAGGGACGGTTTTAGAGTTATATGAATTTGACCTCGCATGTTTGTATTAAACATTTACAACTTTTTCAACTCTTACATACTCTTATTACTCCTTAGTTAAAAATATATTTATGCTGAATGATTAGTAGATATTACAAAGAAGTAAATTCATATATAACTCCACAACTACAACCACTAAGAATATGTCATCTAAATTTTGATATGTGGTGGTAATAAAGTGAAACCATTGTTTTAGATTTCAAGAATGTTGCGAATCAATTGCGCACTAGCTACGGAGTTTGAAAGGTGGTATGCAATGATATATCATGCAGTGTTCGCCCAGTTTTGGAATCAGAATACAATATAATTATTAGTCCTCTATTTAATTTCTGAATTATAAAGGAAATGCGTATCCTTGAGTATATATTTTTTTAATAAACAAGACTCCACGGTCATTTTCACTTTTCAGTTTTAGGATTTTTCAAAAACCGAAGCATACAATAATTTTACCTATATTCGTTTTAGACCTTTTTAATTTGGTGATTTGTGTTTTTTTATAATTGTTGTATTCAAATATTGTACAAAATATAAATATCAGAAATTAAATAGAAAATCTTTTGTAATGACGGTGCTCAGCCAGATCAACGAAGAATAAATAAGAAAGGTCAATCGATCTGGTGGATGTAAACATTTTCGGGAATAAATGGAATGAACTTTGATATTTTACATGACGTTGGTATTACCTTTCACCTGTTTCTAAAATATACCTACAATAAAAATTGGATGATCACACCACCTTGCTAATGGGACAGAAGAAAGAATCGACTTTATGAAGCCTCAGATATCGGGGGTTAAATATTTTATTTTCATTGCGAAACTTTAGTATCGCCCTGATTACGTAGTAGTGAAGTCGTCGTTCGTCGTTCTTACTTCGATGATGAGGGGCGCGACGAGTTGGTTGTCGGTGATGCGGGTGACGGTGGTCTCGGTGAAGGTGGACTTGGTGATGGTCTCGGTGACGCGGCCGAGCGCGGCGGGCGGCGGGGGCAGGACGACAGGCGGGGCGCGCTCCACCGTCACCCGCACGCCGCGCTCGGGGGGCGCGCTCGCGGCGCTGGCCGGCCGCGCGCCGCCCAGGAAGTGCGCCGGGATCATCGCTTGGAACTCCTCGTTGGTAATCGGCCGCGATGGCTGCGCGTTTAACACGTTCACATCGAATCAGTCTAATGTACCGGTACCACGACGCAAGTGCTTACAATTGACAAATTCGAATTCAATGACCCATTATAAGATAAAGATTTAAAAAGAGCAACCATGGAGTTTCTTGTTCCTTCTTCTCCATCGGTATCAACACTTTGGAACGAGCAAATAGCTTCACTAAGAGGACTGACTGACAGACTGACATTTTATATCTTTAAAATTTCGTTTGACTTTCAAAAGTGCCTGTAAAAAGAGTCTAATTGAAATAAACTATTTTTTAATTTACTTGACTTTTTGACTAAGTTTTTGAAAATCATGTCACACAATTTTACTTTATCGTCTAAGTGGGTCACGATTCGAATTTGGCAATTGTAACATATATGCCCTGGAAAATTACATGTATCAACGTCTCATGGATTCATTAAATTGCCTGCAAATGTGCTAGCTTATAAGATTTGGAGCAGATAGAGCTTGCACACTTTACGTGGGCACAGTAGCGTATCACTTTTACCCCCAACTACTTATTATCTGATTTCTAAACTAGTTCGGTATGATATACATGTGCAAAGTAATACAAGCCTTGCAGATAAATCATAAACAGTTTTTGTTCAGGTTTAAGACTGAATTTATTTAATTTCCAACTACCAGATACATACCAGAGCCAAGATAATAAATAGACTTGATTTTTTTATTCATCGTTTCTTAAGATTTGATTTTCCAAATGTTACTTATTTAAGTTATTGTTTATACGTTTTGGATTAACAAAGAAAAACAATAACTTATACTAAATATAGATGGTACCTATGATATTTTATTTTAGTTCATGGGATATTTTTATGAAAAGAGATATTAAAAATAAAATATATCAGAACTGTTTGTTAAGGTATTTTTTATATAAATAAGATAGAATTTATCATTTGTCACGGATCAATACTAAAAGAACAGAAACGGGGTCGACTTATATTTTATTTCTGTTCGTTTACGCCAATTATTTATCAAAGTAATAGGGTATTCGAGTATATATTAACATGCTACATCAAAAAGAAAATGATTGTAACAAACATAAAATCGAAGGGGAAATGTTTTCTATATTCTCATCCGACTAGCACTTATGAACAACCCAATATGGTCACCAATCCCCCATTATGGTCACCAACTTAGTGTAAATCTATTACAAAATTTTGCTAAACAAAGTTGATTTCTATTAAATTTAGTGCCTTATAGGGTAAGAAATCACAAGTGGCTATTGCGTGTGTCGATCAACTCCTAAGCCAATACAAAAAAAAAGTAGTGCCGGTAGAGTTTGATTTAGACAAAAACTTGCTTTTATTTCTTTTAAAGTGTATTTCTGGGCAACCAAGCACTTTTATGTATTTCCTAATCTTTGTTGATCGAGAAATATAGCACTGGTTTTCCGTTCGTAAGTACTGACAGTGTATTTATGATGATAAATGATGACACCTGGATATTGTCCACTACTTTCAGAGAGCCTATCTAGCAAGATTACTGGAAATATTTCTAATCTACGAAATAATAACCATTCGACAGCACAGTCGACGCGTGGCTGAGCAACTGGCTGACCTATAACGTGTCTCAGCTAGATTCTCACCACCCTTTCGGTGTGTATAGCACGTTTGCGTGTTGTGTGTAGTTCACACAGAAGAAAATCCAAGAGGAAATTTCAAAAATCTTCAGTTAATAAGAAAAATTCGAACTTTCATGAGTACTCATTTGCATGGGTGAGTCTCCCGCCTAATTTTGTGTTCTGTGAAATCAAGGGAAATTTCTAGCTAAGTTTTACAAATTAACAAAGTTAATCATGATGATCATCAGTCTGTGGAGATTTAAAAGGCTTGTATTTCTTTGACATCATACATGATTTAAAATGATGTTATAAAGTAAAAAGAAAAGTTTTACAGATTATTTACTTTAATACCCCCGGAGCTTCTCATCTTTAAAATCTGAAAAATTAAAAAATACTTTGTTGTGAAATAATTACAAAAACTATCTACCAAACCTCATTCATAAACTGATATTTGTGTCTCAAAATATTTCTTCTGTTTTTAGCATTAGATTTCTATCTGTTGCCTACGTACTTTTATGATAATATACATAACTTTTATACATAAATATTTTATAATAATTTCTTATACATTCATAGACAAACAATAGTTAATACTCGTGTAAATAGCATAGTTACAGACAATGTTGCGTCGACATATTTATGGCAAAAGTGCAATAATATAAGGTAAAGCTGGAAGCCTTTATTATGTTCAAAGTTACTTAATAAAATAATGTGCAATAATTACTGAATACATAATGATAAAATACACCATAGATTTTATTAATAATGTAATGATACGTTAGCATGTATTTCACTAAAAATATTTCTGAACAGGTTTTAATACGCGTGACTTACATGTACCCATGATGTCTTATTAACAGTTTCTAATGTTTGAAATTTTGATGTTCAACAGCATAATGAAGCAGATAAATGCATAAATATTAAGTATGGAGATCGCATTTAACTCAATATATTAATAGTTGTGACCAATATTACAACCGAACATCATGAAATATGAGCTCTATATTTCAGAATGCATCGGGTGTAATACCTTTCGCAACTATTGCGAGCTAAATGTCATCGCCAACTTTCGACTAATCTACATAGTGAAGTGAACAGATAAGGCGTCGCACACATTTGTGGTAAAGCTAATGTCTCAAAGCTCTGACGTGAACGTGTTAAACCAATACCATCACCTGCGAAACTGAATACGTTAAGAAATGATTGTGTGGGTCGTACCTGTATATCGTCGAAGACATCGTCGTTAGATCCGTGCACGTTATTGGCGCCGGGAGTTAGGGGCGTGCTCGTACTGTTAGTTGTCGGTTTGGCCTGGAGTGAACGAGTTTTTATATTGAATTTAATTGCATTACTAGCGTGAGGATCAGAAGCAAACAACTATTTTTGGAAGCATTTTCTACGAATATTTTTATATATGAAAAAATACTTTCAATATGTTTTTAAAATTTATCAAACAGTTACAATTGTGCTGAAATAGAGTTAGACTAAACAACAAATATAAAAATCACCCTTAACCGGTACATATAAAGCGACAACTAAGCCTCACCTGCCCGTTGGGTTGACTCAGTTTTCGCGGTGCAGGTTGCGGTGGGACTGAAGTGGGTGCAAATGTGGCCTGCTTCTGTAGTGGTGGCTGCGGTGACGGACTGGGGGCCGTGTGGGCCGTGGGGGTCGTGGGGCCTGCGGGCGCGGGGCCCGGCACGCGAGTGCTCTGTGTGCTGTGTGTGCTCGTGTGGTTCAAAGGTGCGCTAACGTGATTTGTGTTAGGTTTCTGTGTCGGAATAATGTTCACATTCTGCAGGCTGGTCTTATGTTCTCTCACTTCTTCCGATGTCGACTTCCGCGGGATGAACTCGCCTATGAGGAAAATATATTTTAATAAAAGGTAAAAGCTAAGCGGTTATCTCTTTTGTAATTTAATAGTACTGTTTTTGAAAACGTACGAATTGCTATTCCGAAAGCAATAAATTGGCAAGCTTATATGGTTGTCTACTAAATGGTAATTGAACAGTATATTTACCTTGTTCCGTAGTTATCGTTCGTTGTAGAACGAGCCTAACAAATCTCTCGTGTCCGGTGAGAAGGGATACGGCTGCTTCGTGAGGAGCGCTCTCCATATCTACGCCGTTTATCTGAGGGAATAAATCTATATTAAGTCTTTCGCCGCGGTTAGTCTAGGCTTTCGTAGTTATGTTTCCGATGAAACTGTGTCGATATAATTAATGTCAACAAATTCCTTTCTCTTGTAACGGCTACTAAACTACTTTTACAGCAATGAAAATATTTTACAAGTACTTATACAGGATTTATAATAAAAGCTAGCTTCTGAGACTTAAGACAAAGTGCTTTAATGATAACATATATGAATGTAATAGAATTAAAAGTAGGTAACAAATGTAAATAACTAGGCCCTTATGAAAATCATAAGTCAAATTTACTTTTTTTAAAACCTAAATAACCCATGTATATGGGGGCAAAACTTACGGAAACAACTTTATCTCCGACCATCATCTTGCCGTCCTTAGCGGCAGCACCTTGCGGAGAAATCCGGGAGATGTAAATGGCGTCGCTGTCATCTCGGTAGGGAGGGGAACCCTTGCCACCGGCTATACTGAACCCGAGACCCGCGCCGTCGCGAATCAACGTCGTATGGACTAGCACCTTTTGTTGATACACTGGAAAATAAAGGAAATTATTTTATTATATTTCACATTTTATGATTAATGTTATAAAACAATACAAGAATCGATAGATTTTTTTTTCGGCTACAAGTAACATAAAAACTAAAGCAATGTATAATTTCGTTTAATTTATTTTTATCTACGCGGCATTTGTTGCAAACTGCCAGTAAAGTACCTACGCTCGTAATGCTATGTACTGATTAAATTCAAATATATATTGAATTCGATTACGTAGCTGCATTGATCTTTGAGCAAATAAGAAGGGCCTTTTCCCACGAGCATCGCTTTCGACTTCCAGTCTAACCAGATGCTAAACTATCTATATTTTAGACGGTGCTCCGACTGACGTCTGACCTCCACAACCTCACAAAGGTTAGGCCAGTAATCAGATTTTATTGGGCCTTTTCAACTGCGTGTGACAACTTTCATAGAATAATTTACGACACGCAAGATTGACGGATTGACGTTTTCAAAGGTCTTTAAGTATACATTACAGATTCAGCTATTGTTTGTAGATTGTCGCGGGAAAGTCTTTACCTTCAGTTTTACTTGTTAAATATATGGAACTAGCTTCTACTGTATGTTGGTAAAAAGTAGCCTAAGTCCTATTCCGAAGTGTATCCTATGCCTGTGCCAAATTACATCCAGATGCGTTCGGCTGTTTTGGCGTGATTGAGTAACAAATATCCAAACATCGTAACGTTCGCATTTATAATTTAAGTAATATTGATAGTTACCGGGTGGTATGTATGGCTCAGTGACGGGCGGAGGTGATGCTTGCAGTCGCTGGTACGTCTCCGCAGTAACTTGTCCCATAGGAGACGGACTATAACTCGTCACAGGAGGAACGACTGTCGGCACTGTCTGGTTTACGACCTGTTCTTTGTACTCGGGCTCAAACTCCTGTGCGTACTGATTGCTGATGATAAGCGGCTTGTTGGGTATACCGCGACCTGTCGGGACCTGTACAAGTAACTTGCTTGTTAATCGATACTTTACACGTTATATTGGCGCCATGTTAGACCTGTGCTTGTGAAATTTGAGTAGTTTAGATTATCATCTATCGATATACCACGATGGAAAGCATAGTGGTAGGTATTATACGGTTGTTGCAATAAAAAACATTGCAAACCCCTTTGCATGTAATAGCTGTGCGATTTACATTTATGTACGTAGAACATGATGTGCATATTGAATGAGCTGTTTACCTGTCCATTTTCCAGTGTAGATACTGTATCGGTAGTGCTAGATATGGAATGATGGCTCGCTCCACTCGGTGCTCGGCTGTGAGTTCTGAATAAAATTATTTCCTTATTATTGCATTTTACGCACAACATGATCAAGTTAATTAAATACTTATCAAAGAGCCAGGCTTAATAACATACAATCTTTTATAAATATTGAACAAAAATTTAAACCAACAAAAGGCACTTATCTAAGCTTGCATGATCTGTTCTAAATAATTTAGGTAGTCGCAATGATTGCAACAGTGGTGATGAAATAATAAGATAAGGAGTAAACGGTGCTTGCCTGGTCGAATTGGGTGAATCTCTGGTCACGACAAGTGTGAGCGTGGGCCCGCTCGCTTTAAGTACTTCCACTGCATAATAATGATCCACTTCTACGACAGACGTACCGTTCACCGAGAGCACCTTGTCGCCGACCTGAAACAATTGAAACATCCATTAAACCCCATACAACTTTAAAAATAAATTTACAATAAAGCCATAATGTTTATGTCTGCACTTAAATGAAACAAAAGACAAGATAGTACATTCATAATTCAGTTTGTGTAATAACAATTTTACGACGACATTAATAACTTCCCGCAGTGATTCATTTGATTAGAAAGGCAATGCTATCTATCACTTGATAAGTTTATATGGTTGATTTGAATATAGACTTACTCTTAGTCCAGCATTGTATGCTGGCCCGTTCGGTGTGACTCGGGAGATGAAGATGCCGTCATCGTCACCGACGTAAGGTGTGGAGCCTCTTCCTCCAGCTATGCTGAGCCCGAGCCCGCCGGCAGTGCGCGCTATGCGAACTTCGATACATCGCTGGTCGTTGACTACCCGCGCTTCGCTCTCAGCTCGCTCCGAAACAGATTCACCTGTGAAATAAAAAGCATGTCAAACCTTATCAAATGACACATTATACTTGCCCTATAAATCCCTAAATAACTTCAACGTTGTGTTATCAGCGCACAGATGCCACTGATACTATTCGCTGTAACCGCATTACCGCACCTTATTCCCTTAATAAACCAAGGTTATAAAGATTACGTGTTTATATGATAAAATGTTTATAAAAATCATTGTTTAAAATATTTATTGGAGGAATTGCATACATTATATAATCCATCTATACATCAACATTGTTATCGTTAAAACCCTTTGCTTATTTATCTGGACTTTATGTCACTGCTGAATTTAGTCTTGATAAGAGAATAGAATGTACCGTCCAATAAGTGTTATTCAATAATTAATCTACACTGTCTAGGTAAATACATGATTTGTTATCTGAACTGGTCATTATGTAAAGCGTATTGTTTCGGACTACTGACTTCCGCCACTTGCGCAATACTCACAGGTATCTATTGTCAACAAGTGTAAGGTCAAGCATAAATATGAAAATGGATATTCGTGTGAATAATACAGCGAGATCTGAATAGAGCAATTAACCTAGTTGTCAGGTTACATAGGCAATAAAAGATGAGTAGGTAGGGACTTCCCTACATGCGAGAAAACAAATTAACTTAAAACAAAGGTCTTCTTGCAGTTAATGGGACAGTGGGCGTTCAAAGCGCCGGCACTGAACTAATTATTGACCCCCCAGTGAATAGATACAATGTGCTGTATGCAATGCGGTGCATACATGTGCTAGCAAGGTCGGAATGATCATGAGCTCGAAAATAAACCGTCACGATGTAGACATTATGACTGTGTGACGTATCACCTGCGCTTGCTGTTGTCACGATTGTGAACTATCGGCTTCGAAATGCTAAGCCTGAGACCGGTATATCTTAGAGAAATGCTTTGTTCCGAAGAGCAATGACAAATGATGCGCTGCGACAATTATTGATGATTCGTTTCTACGCAACCGGATTTCTAATTCCATAGACTATGAATACAAACAGTACGGGATTGAATAACAAATGGTCGCGCGTCACACCGCTACGTTCGCACGACAATCTACATGTCGAGACGAATGAATGGACCACAGAGAAATCATGATCCAGAACGGTCGGGACCGCGTCCTGTCTTCTGCATTACAATAGCCAATCAGTTGCGATACTTTCACCCCCGGATAAGCTTAATAGAATAACTACCTACACAACTATTGTACTCCAGAACGAGTCGTGATAGTTTACACAGGGATTCGTGACTCTCATCTTACAGTAGTCTTATTGGAAAATTCTCTTTTCTAGGAATGATGGTAATTTACTTCCAATCTAAATGTAACGGACAGGTGAAAGTCAATGTTGTGAAATGATTCAGTGAGTAATTTAACGAAAAAGCATGCAACTAATAAATAATTACTGAAGGTACTTTATGAAAGTAATTTAAGTAAAAGCAGTGAAGCAATTTTCATCTTGTATGAAGTGAATGTCGTTTTTGTAGGCGATTGCGCTTAAACGCGGCAAAAACTTAGAAGCAATGTAAGAAATTGTAGCTTTGATGACAGGAATAAACCCTGAGCTTGATAGCGGTCCGTTAATGTTAAATTAAGAGTGGCAATTTGATTTAATGGCTGTAGTAGGCTTAGAGCACTTTGTAGTGAAGTCTGAGAAACGTCTAGCTAGTATTTGCTGCCTGCGAAACCGGTGCGGCCCCGTGGACATTACGCCATAAATACACTAAACTTATGGCTTCATACATATATCATTCACAACGGTACAGTAGCATCATGTAAAGTTCATGCATGTCATTTACTCTTACCTATATTCATTGCATTAACACATTCTCAATTCTCATAGGCATTATTTTATAGCCACATTATGCATGCAATTTTGATAAATAAAATTTTCTATTTTATTTCTATTTCATTTACCAAAGCAATGAATATATTATTTAAAACATGTAAATGCGTATTAAATTCCAAGTATCTACGTATTTTTGCAGTAAAATTTTAGAAACTGCATACATAATATAAAACTCATTTGCATTTTATGTTAAAAATAAAAAAGGTCTTGGATTTATTCAGCACCGAGTTAGGTCCTGTAAGGTATATCTGCTCACTGCTGTTTTCAAAAATAAGTGAAGGGAATGAAAAAGGCTGTAAGTGTGATCTAGTTTTGAAAGCTGTTTGGTTTCGTAGACTACGAATACGGTACTCTGCACGTTCAACTGCAAGCTGCAAGCACTAATCACAGTTATGAAAGATAATTCCAACGGAGGCTAGCAATTTACACGAAAAACACATAATCACGATGTAAAAGCTCTTTGAAAGGTAAGAGAACAGAAATTGTTCATAAATGAATTATGGAACTAAAATGTTGTTGGGTACGGTAAATTGTATGGATACTTTATCCTACAAATTGCATTTGAAACAGTAGGTACTGAACTAAGTACAAGGAATATACTCTAATATAGTATAGTATGACAATCAACAATGACCACAAATAAAAAAATCAAGTATTGGATGAGGTCAAATACATGAATTTGTTTATGAGACGCATTAAAACCTTTTTATGAGACAGTCGAAATAGGCAGTTTGATGATATTTCAAACAAAACAAAACACAAACATTGCTTTTTAAGAAGTTATTTTAGACGATGACAAACTTTAAGGTCAGTTTTAAAAGGGCAAGGTACTAATATTCCAATGACAAGAGATACTTAAACGATATTGTCCAAAACATCTTGTCGATACTTTTAACTGCGCAATTACGAAATATAGGTAGATAATATGTACCTATTACAACAGTGTGAAGTTAGGGGTCCCGCCCGAATACGTGAGCGATGACCGCATAACGTAACCATTGATGTTTCACCTTCACACTAGAGTATTTACGAACCACGTAAAATATGTTACGTATGACCTATTGAACAGAAGCCGCAAGCGATTAAATGTTATTGAGTGCAAGTGCGCTGTAATATGCGCATTGTTCTGCGGTTTCTATGAGCAAGGAACATTGTTCATTACATTTATTGTATTTGTACGCGGTCATAAAATGTGAAGATGTACATTTTAAACAAATTATTACCGTTGAATATTAATGTGGTAAATGTTGGTATCGATGCCATTTTATTTACAACTATGACCTATTCATATCGGAATTTTTATGTTACGGTACATGTTTTTTGAATAAACGTGCCTTAGGTTGGTTATTAATCATTGTTTTTAAACATTGCTTAGATTCCGCATAGTAGAGACCAATTATTATTTGTTGTAAGATCTATTTATTAGAATCTGATATTTATTTATTTATTTATTCTTCGCACAAAACTGTCTGAATGGCGGACCTAATGCCTTAAGGCATTCTCCAACAGTCAAACATAGGGTAGTGCAGACAAATCATGTGGTTGGTGCGAAGCAAGGACACAGTGTCCCAGAAAATAGAAGAAACAAACACGGTTCTTTTTCACTATATCTGTATAACAATAATTTAGATTTACTCTCATTCATATTTGCTTTTAGAAGGAGTGTTGTTTATTATCGGTAACTATACTAATCGAGTCGATACAGGTTAGATGTGCATTGCTTCGACACATATGTCGCGTCCTTATATGGCTGCAGTCTTTAAGTAGGGTTAGTGAGCTTGGCAATCTGCTGAACCACTTCTAAAGTGGGCAGTTACAAGTATTGTTACACTTAAGTAAGTAACTATTTATGGAAATAAAGGAGATTATTTTAATGCATTATCCATATTGAGACCTAACAAGTTACTTCAAAAATAGAGTCACATTTGTAATTATTGTTCTAATACAATTTTGGTGGTAGAAAAATAAACTACAGTACCTACTGTAGTACATGGTGAAATAGAAAACAGAGAATATCTCTCACATAAACTGTTTAACTAATTAGAACCACGTCTAAAATAATAAAGGTAATTATAAAAACAATGTGAAGTGAATATAAAAGTTCCCATAGAATGTGAATGTAGTTTTCTAGATAAAAACAATAATGAACCTTGACTCGCCTGTCGTAGAATATTATAGACTTTTAGAGCACAATATCCGTTCCATAACAAAGTTAACAGTCCATAGAATTTTGTTGCCGACTGTTATTTTTGTTCTAAATATCACATTCAACAATACGAAATGCTAATTTGGGAGAATTGCATCAGAGATTTCGCAAACTAACAAAAAAGTTACATTGTGACACATGCAGGTTACTGTCAAATCGAAAGTGACTTGCAAAATGTTGCCTTATTAAAAATAATAACAAAAGATCACGTACTATTTAATAAGTGCAAGGATATAATTAAAGTACAGCACTGCCAATCGTCTATTTATCTATTATCTAATCGAAGAGAAAGTACACTTACGCTTTTTTCTCCTGATCACACCCATTTCCTCGTCACAAACTACTCCTGAGCTACTTCCTGAGTTGGGGCAGCTATGTCCGTAGGCGGAGGTTGATCTACCGGCTCTCGTTACAATACTATCTGGTTAGTATCGTACGTCAATCAAACCGAAGCACCGACCGGCTATTCGCCCTAATGCATTCCGACTAGGTCATTGTCCAATTTGATTATAAATAAAATTGTCCATAATTTTAAAGCCTAAGTTTATCTTAATGTTGATCGAACGTTATTTACAGATACGGTAAGTGTAACCGGCTTTGGATTTGTTACGGCAAATCAAAACAAACAAATCGTGAACACCGAACTGGGTATAAGAACGCGTGTAGTGCGCGCAGCCCGGGGCGCATGCGCTGACGGAATGCGCGCGCAACCACCACAAGCTCTGGCGGAGGCTGTGGCGCCGGCGCCCGCGCCCGCGACCTCTCCGCCCGATTAAAAATAGAAAGTCTCAACCTGGCGCATACCAATTCCTTTATTTTTACCCTAACGTTACCTACCCATTATCTGAACCGATCGATCGCATCTACATCGATCTCGTTACCGACACTTTCGATTCTTTATGAGTGAGGTGGGTACGTATCAATGTGATCGATTGTGTACCCAGTTATTATTTTATTATCACTTCCGTGTTGTTAGATGATAAATTCCATGTCGGAAAATAGAACTCGACTTTAGTAATAGTTGAAACATGAGCGGAAGTCGTTTTGCACTTTAATTGCGCTGTTTTAACAAATTCGAGTTAATGGGAGATAGACAACTATTCTTATTTCCTATAAGGTTGTGTATATGATATAAATAAGCTTCAGTTTATTAATTTTTGTTTTGTAATGCAGACGATTGTTTAAAAAAACAAATCATCGAATACGAATTTAATAAGTTAAATAAATAAAGAAAAAATAAAACAAATAACAGGTTTGAAATAAAACCTATTTTGAACTTACTTGTGTATCATTTCCATAAATATCTTAAGCTCACTTCCGTAAACAAAGGATCAGTACTTTTAGTACCTTAATATTATTTGTGTACACATTACAAGTTACATCATCACAAAATTTGGAAATTACGTAATCATTTTGCCCTTAGTGTTGTTAAGGTGTTAATTAGTTAATCATCTTTATGTAATTATTTAGAACTTAACTCACTATTATAGCACATACCTAAGTTATTTATTTTAGTAAGGGATTTATTTACAGGTAGGCACTTAGCTCTTAATTGCCTTGAGCTAACCAACTAAAAAGCTACCAAGACCCTTTGAGGGTTCCGTAGGAGCGAAAAACTAAAATTTACTATATATGAGGTAATAATACGAATTTTCGGCTGAGATATACATGAAATACTAATGTGCATAATAAAATAATTTTTATTTCTCATTATATTGTTTTAGAATTTACAGGGTGGTAACAAGTTTTACGTTTTTCGCGCTAACCGATCAGTTTAGAAAAAAAAAGAACTTCAATTCCATTTTTGAAAACTGAAAAATTTATCTAGATAGTCCCCCAAATATATTTATTTTCTACTTACTAAGTATCAAAATTATAATTGTCATAGTCTCGAAAAATAAAATTGTCTGAACGAAATAAGTGAAATTGGCTCGCTTCGATAATCTTGAATAGATAGGGATCATTTATGTAGAGATCTTATCAATTTAATCATAGAAAAATAGAAGTAATTTTTTATGAAAATATTTATGTTACGTCACATACGGACGTCTTTTTTTACACGAGACGACCCGAGAAAGGAACATAAAATGCAAAAATAACTAGCAATTACATTTCCCTTCTATTTTCCGGTATAACAGGTAAAAGATCAGTCTATAAAATATGACATTGAATTACAAAATCAAGGTGAAGAGCGCAATCTGCATAAGTAAATAAGAATTATTCATAGACATCATCAAAACAAACTATGTAGTGACATAAACTAAACGCTACGATGCATTATTACATAAATTAAGATAAATCGACAGTTAATTACACTATGAAACGATATAATATTACCAGCAGCTATCGGAGAAATTAGAAATCGCGTTGCAGCCGGGATATGGCTTTCAGTTAACTGTAGGTTATTGAACAGGACTTCAGCTTTCGAAAAGCAGTCCGACCGGTGATCTACATACAGGCAATGCACACCTTGCAGGGTGATTAATGTATGCAAGGATGCCAATTAGATACAGCACGCGTCACAGCCGTAATGGATGTTCGGACCTACTTATTATAACACTAACAAACTCGTTCTGGAAAGGACACTTTTCTCGCCGAACATTTAATGCGTCTACGTTTCGAGTAACGGTCACGGTGACATAGCTCTGTAAGAATTTCAAACTGTTTCTCCGTAGGTGGATTTGACGATAAAACTTGTAATACGTGAAAAGTATTGCACTGACTTCTTAAAAATGTTGTTTTGTTTGCAACAAATGTAGAATTTAGAAATAAGTGTATTCGTTTCTTTTACAAAATTTTAATAACCGAATATGATTACATGATTGGTGTAGAGGCTAGACAAATGAGTCTGAGTGTGATTTGCACGTTAATTTCAAGGTGTGTAGAAGCACCCATGACGCAGGAAAATCTGAGTGTGGCAATATGTTTCTTTTAACATAATATGAAATTTTACTCACATTGGTATTTCATACAACGCCAGGAAAAGCGTGCGAAATGTAGCGAAACTAATCATAAATAAATATAAGTGACAGGAGATCATGTTCTCAGGGTATCGTGTTTTAGATGCGCTTCAATAACTCATTTCACAGGTTCACTTTCGAGATCTGCCCGCAGCACGGATGTAAGCCGCAACAAACCGCAACGCACGGTTTCCTCTGCACATTGCCGATTTTATACGACGATATACAACAAGTGCTGTCTACTGCGGTCAAATATGATAGTAGAGAAACTACGACAGGAATAATACACTAACACATGCACGTATGGCTCAATCCAATTCAGACATACGTCCTTTAACATAAAAGATAACGATTGAGTCACTCACAACATCGATAAAATTCCAACGTCAAGTGGCGATGGCGAACGTGATCATTTCATGCACGAGATTAATAGTGAGTGAAATCGGTAAGGGTTATGTATATCTTGTAAACGCCATTGTAACAACAATAACAATTAATAAGTTCATGGGGCCAGAATACACAATAACAAGGACTTTCACGGCGTTGAATGAGACGCGGATGCACGAATATTGATAATGAAAAAAAAACACGAGTGCATTACCTATAGTAATTACTGCTACAGAGAAAGGTGTTTTTTTATCGAACATTATAATAACATGTACCAAATTACAATCTATGACATTTATTTATTAAGATTCGAAAGTAAAACACGGTAATTTACGTTCGTGTGACGTGACTGATGGATCCCTAGATAAGTAACAGTTAATAATATATTTTCTTGATTGCTTAATTCCATTCCTAGATGCTTATCCGCTTGATCGCAACATTCCAAAATTACTCACTGTTTATTTACTTGTGTAGATAATGTTCATACTGGCACCGGTATGTCCATTGTAAGCACTTGTTATAAAACGTCATATTAGATTATTCATTTTATGAATGGGTTTTCTTTTTTATTTTCACTATTGTGTTAGCAAAAGTAACTAGGTAGTAAAATCAAAATGCTGTGTTATTTGAGTGAAGCTCAAACTGTGAGTTCACGAGTGTCAATCGTGCTCGTCTCCTTTTCTATCAGGCATCGGAGCACGAACTCGGCTCAGGCACGCGCACCCTGGTACCACATCGCCTTCTCTACTGTACTCGCCACGAAAGCTCATCCGTTATTATTTGTTAAGGTCAAATAACCTCCAACTTTATACACTGTCTTGTATTGTACTTTCTATCCGATATCGCCAACCATTACACAACTTTGAGTGAGATATAGATTATGGTTTACGAACCATTTATTATTAGATTTTATACCGTAACCGACTGTTACATAAACCCCGTATCGAACCTAACTACACTGACGAACTCAAAAGATTTGAACGTTAACTTTCAAATAAGGCTATCCTACAAAGATTTCAAAGAAGCTTTGTAAGTCACAAGATGTATAATGAGAAGATAATACGGCGACTAATCATATTCTCTATCTCTGTTTTTTGTTGTGTATAAAAATTAGAAACGCGACTCTAAAGCTGTATATGGCTTAACTTTAGCAAACATAAACGACAATAAATACTCGGCGACCTTCTAACCGAGCTAGTCTAGCGCTCCTTTTGTGCAAAATGCAAAAATGGTGACACGCAAATATCAAAACGTACCGATCATAACGGAACCGACTGTTATTTTATTGATGCGATCAAGATTAAAAGCAATTCAAAATATTATATTTAACTTAATCTCTTCGTTTTATTCGAGGAATTTCCAATTTATTGGAAATAGTTGATCGATTCCGTTTAATCGGACGAGGGATTAAATTGAAAGTATTTTACAATAACATAAATAAGGCACAGCAAAACCACAATTCAATTTAGTTTGTTTAGTTTTCTTACTCGCTTTAAAAGTGAACTCCATTAGGGAACACATAATGCCCCGAACTGCTGACTTTGTGACCGCCATCGCAAAGAATTTTAATGTTCAAAAACAAACACAACACCACTGAATTTCAATATGGGTACTTATCGTAGAGGCATATGAAGTACTGAGAGAACCAGCTAACACAACGGTCTGGCTCATTAGAGCGCACCAGTAAACGCGGGGAGAGTGCCCTGCTGCAGCTATTGTTGTCCGTCCCTCGGGAGGGTTGGCCCAGATGTCGTCCTATATACGCACACACGCATAATAAACCTTTTGTTTATATTTAGATGTGGCTAGAAAATATGCTTTTACATTTAAATATAACAATAAGTCTGCAGTAAAACTTTAATGCGAAAGCCTCAGTATGGTAAATAGGTATTTTCTCTTTATAAGTTCTTATCGATTGGTAGAGATCTGTAGCAAGTTATAAATAGCTCCGCTGAATTTAATTGTCGGTCTAGTTAAGTAAGATAAACAGGTTCCCGGTGAGCTTAATGGGTAGTTAGAATATCGATACTAAGTAAGTATTCAAACACTACGGCGGTTAAGCTGAAAGCAGAATATTTTATGGTAGTTATACCTTGATACAACGTGATATATTGCAGGTTAACGACTAGATTAGTTTCTATTCAAAACGACTTTCTACGTTGGATTTCACTCCAGACTCTATATACAAAAAGTTTACTAACTAATAAGACATTTGTTTTAATTCTTACAAAACCGAATACATTTGAAAAATTATAAATGTTTTAATATTAACTGAACGTACATTTAATAATATTCAATTTCACGTTGAAATACTGAGTCTGACCATCCTAAAGAGACATTGCTAAACATGTCCAAAACTCCCGACAGTCGACAAGCTATTGTTATGCATTTCAGGACGTACGCTTTGGTGGAGAGTTTTGATCAGATATACAAACCCTTCGGGATGCGAACATAGCTGCTTTTATGTAAGCGTCCTTTTAGTCGGTACCTACAAATACATACAATCGACAAGTCTAACTTGAAATATTATTGCAACTCACCATATCCGTGTACTATTGGGCCCAGTTCACTTATTCGTACTCGTCTTGGTCCATACTTTGCAGGCAACGAATTGTGTGTATTAGGATATATAGGAGTACCCCGTTGTTGTTCCTGACGACTTACTGATCTAGGCACAGTGCTATATAACTGACCTGATTGATCATACATTAGATTACCTCGTTGGTCATCAAATCGGGCTGATCGGGGCAAAGACCCATGAACCCGATTCGAGTCTTCATTATAGAAATTATTTCTTTGTGTTTCATTACGGCTGATTGATCGTGATAAGGAACCCTGCATCTGGATCGGCTCATTGTTATAAACCCGATTATCTGTCGGCTGATCTAGGCGACTCACTGATCGAGGTAACGTGGAGCGAAAGGAGTCGTCACTGCTCAAAGGGTTGCTCCTTGTTTGGTCTACACGACTGACTGAACGTGGTAATGTTCCGTGCAGTCGAATTGAAGGATCATTGTAGACAGGCTGATACTGATATTGGTTCGCGTTTGGCAGCTGTTGTGACTGATGGTAGTATGGCTTCGACGAGTCTGTATAATCAATAAACGGGTTGTTTCTGTCCCTAACAGCGTATCCATTATTTTCGGATTGTTGGTAATGATTTAATGCTTGCAAGCTTTGTGCTGGATATCCATATTGATTCGGTTGCCTGCGGTACTTGTCGAGTATATCAAATGATCTGTTGTAAGGCGCAGAGAAACGATCAGTGGCGAATATCTCGCTTACGGGCAGTGTGCTGCTATTGTTACTTGCATTGCTTCGATTACTCCTGGTACTACTCCGGACATTGTTTCGACTCAATGAACCGTCACCACGCACGCTTAATGTCACTTCTAGTCTCTTTTTGTCTTTCATTATGTTTTATTTTTACACTGTGGCGAGAACCCCCTTGATATCACCATTTGTTACTCAATGTGTACAAATTAGAAACGTTGTCGGACTGAACAACAAATTAATTATAGTTTAAAGTGTTATACAATGTAGCAACATACCACGTCGAAGAAAGTAAATTACATTACAACGGTGTAGGTAGGTAGGTACATTATGAACGATGAGTAATGATGATCGTCGATGTATAAGTAAATGACCACAAGCTCGAGAACAAGACCGTCGTTGTTAAAGTTAATTGAGGTTAAAATAGTTTGAACGAAACATCGACACGACTTTTGGACAAAGGCTCTGTCAATTTCGTGCCAGCCAATTTGACGTTTAGATAGAAGAGAACAATATACATACTTGCAAAGAGAAAACTCAAAGTAACTTAAACGATTACTTAAGAATAACTATCAATTACAACGACCTTAGGTTCAGGTAGGACGTTATTCTATATCAGATTTATACCCTGCACAGTATTTAAGCATTTACAAGTCACACAAAGACAACGGCCTCATTATAATTACGTACTTACATTAAATACAATGTGTTGTATACACACGTTATTTCAAAGAGATAGAAACAAAACAAAATGTATGAAATAAATACAAAACAGTGATTGGAAATATAAATAATTTCTAAATTAGATATACGAACGATGTTGCTTGATGAACAACTGTTTGACATGCAATGGCTGCGCAGACAGAGTAGATCCGTTTTAATAATTCTCCAAGAAAACGTTTTTATTTAACGAGAAGGCACTAACGAAACGTGACCAATTAAGAGAGATGTCTCGACCACTGTTTATGTGAACTGATTTGTATATTGCTAATACAAATGTATATTATTTAAACACAATTAACAACAAGCCCTCTAATAGAGCGCAATGTTCAGCTTCGACTGACAATGAGTTCCGATCGAATAATTTATTATTACTTATAGCTGATAAGATAATACTGTCAGTTCAATAACTCGTATCAACAAACATGTAGATATTATACCCTAGAGGCACATAACACCTTCTGTATAACCTTAGGCAAGTTATTGTTTGCTAATTTACAACCTATTTCTTCAACTTAGTAGTCCGGGCACGTGAATCATGTGAAGTACATTTACTGATACTTGAGGCGGAAAAATATGGCATGAGTACATGCACGGAAAATGTAGATACTGGGTCAAGGCCGCAGGTGCTATCTTGTGCATTGTTTTACGAAAAATGAACAAGTTTTGGTAAATGTAAAAAGATTGAATAAATCTTTTTATAGTGTCTATGTAACGTAAACTTTACAACAAGTCCCAGGCAGTGTTAGGAAACAACTGTATGTTTGTATATCAAACAAACAAGTATTATAATCAACACTGTGTGCGGGTCGGCGGGCAACCGTGCTTAATTCAACAACTTGTTAATTGTTTACTTAGGACCACTAAAATTAACGAATCTGTTACTTGGGAACATACAATTCAATTGTATCTCAACATTTTAAAGCAACGAAATTTGCTTACTTTGATAGTATGACACAGGGAAAGTTGTACGTGTGCAACTGTGCACGTAAGTGCAGGGTATAAAACCAGCAATTTTCAAGTAAATGGAGCAAAGCGTATTACCGCGAAGTTCCGTAGAACATTGAGATATTTTCGAAACAAAAACATAGAAACATGGAGTAAGTGACGCATTTATAGTAACGATGTAACAATAACCGAGCTTGACCTTCATACACTGCTTGAACACTCGCTTCTAGAATATCAGTCGTGCTTTACAATAGATAATATTATTTACTTATGATGGAATCAATACTACAATATACACTATCAAGTTAAGCCATTAAATAAAAACACCGTTATTAAATTATGTTATCACTATATCACTTCTTCCGGCACTGAATCTTTGACAACTTAATAACACACATTAAGAAACTGGGATACGAAGGGGATTGCGTCAACACAGACGATTATAAAAGTAGAATATTTATCAACTTGCGATTCTGACTCATAGAATGCCTAACACAGGTATCAGACGGATTTGGCACTGATCACGTATTTCTGCATCGCTTAGTTTCAAGTGTGTCACACAACTAGAACACAGTTATTAATTTTCACTGAAGAAGGAGGTGGATTTAGTGGCAAACTCGGCAGAAGCAAGCGAAACACTGCGGGGCTTCGTTCAACGGAACGAAATGGCACGCCGAGTGTAGGAGATAAGCTGATAACGTAGCGATACCCATTTTATACAATGCTAACATTGCGTATTAAAAGTATGTTGTTTCTTGTGCAAGGAAGAGTTAATGTAGCTCAATTATTAAAATGTCAAGAATTATATTAACTTCAGAACATACGGTGGCCGATACCGAGGCTTCGTATTCGCATATTCGCATGATCTCTACTTAGATCTCTAACAATTAACAAGTACATTTTCAAGTTGGAAAGTTATTAGACAGTTAGATGTTTCCCACATAAAAATGAAGGCGAGACGGTGCGTTTGTGTGTGACGCGAGAGTGACAGACGGGCTCCGCTTGGTTCATGTTCGTGATCGCAAAACGACAGACTATGGTCACGAACGTGTGAAATAATGTCGCAACTATCGAATATCTCAGAGGAAGATCGTGCACCACCTCGATGTTTGCCGTAATAACAACTAATCAAACGACTAATTTCCTAGTAAAACTATGTAATTTATGTGACACTCACCATCATGGGTGTCTTCGGCAGTCTCCTCGTCATCAGTCTTCGGTTCTTCTTGCTGTTCTCGTTTTTTAATTGCCTGTAAAAGAAAGTATATTTTACATGACGGAATTAAATATCGACAGTGCAATCACGGAAGAACGTCATCAGGCAATAACAAAAGACAAGCCACACTGATAACAGCTAGTAGGAAAGTACTTTAAATGTCGCATTACACTACATGCCAGTGAAATGGTATGATCGTGACACGACAATACACAAGCAAAGCAAGCCAAACAAAATGCAGTCGAATCTAAATTGAAATCTTTCGCTAAATGTCTTTCTATCTTGCATACGCATCTCACCCGGGCGAGCCATCCTCCTGCCGCTTTCAAGCACCTCATTTTAATTTATACAGATAAGGAGCACTTTGGAAATTGGCCGGTATTTGTTAGTGATTTATTTAGCACTACACTTGTATTGAGAAAGCGGCACTTCACTTATCGATTAATCGCGGTACACGATGCATTGTTCCAAGCGGCGCGGTGGAAGGCACTCATTTCTGCGAGCCTCGCGGAGGGTCTACCGAGAGCGTTGTGGTCGAGGGCCCGTGCGCATCAGCCCGTAACAGCCGCGGTATTCCAACAATTACCCACGGTTGGGTCGTGCTTACAGAAACGGACCGATTCACCGGCAGATTTATTACTTATTTACACACTCATTACGAATTTACCAGATCCTTTCTAAGATTGGAATGACGGTCTAGTACTAGTATTTTGTAATTTTTAAACAGAACATGTGTGAGTGAAGTGTGAATACTCGGCCCGATGATCGTTTTATGGTATTCGTTCACAGAGTACAGGTGCGCTGCGAAAGAGATCTCACGACGCTATTGTTTCTGCTATTCTCTGGTGAACAAGAAATTTCGACGCGGACCGTGCGTCAGCTTTTACCCTTTCGCGTTATTGTATAGTCCGCAATTTAGATGCCATTGTGATGCGCAGCACGATTGCACGATAGCAGTGTATTTAATTGATGAGCGAACGAGTATAATGCCAACGGTCTGTAGAACTACATTATACTTGTTGCTGGTTGGTGCTAATATCTGTACGGAAGTACAAAAACATAACTAAATTATACTCTGTACAAGTGTACTTGTACACCCCAATAATTTCATTTATCAAGGCTTTCACTTACATTATACTTTTAAATTATTATCTTTGTGAACGTCAGATAACGTCACAATAAATGATAAAGAAATAATCTCAACGGAAGATTCGTATAGTTTACGTAAATGTTTTGACAGCGACTTATAAATATTATCATTGTAACACAAGAAGATACCACGAGTTTATTTTCTACACTGAGCACCTATAGGTACCTAATTATTTATAACTCCTACATCAATATTGAGGCATGGCTTTATCCTCTCAAAATAGGATATTAACTCCAGTATCTAGGTACGAAATAAGATTTTTAGGGAGGCTGGGTTCAAAATGAACTTATTTATATGCGGTGGAAATAACTTTATCGAGACGCAAAATATAGGGCCACATTTACAACGTAACTAATATACAAAAGTTTAGAGAACTAGCCTAAAAGATTTGTAGTACTATAAACAGAAAATGCTCTTGAATCATGAAGGATCTTTAAGGTATCTGACAAAATGAAATACAGAATCCAGAAATATGACTTTATACCGAATAAAACATCATGCATGAATGAATGAACTTACACAGCAATATGAATCTAATAAAAGGGCTATAAAATTACTGAACATCCATACGAATACTAGTAAAAGCCACGTAATCATTATAGCCACAGAATGGATCCTATTAACTATGTACTCAATTAAGCCTTGTCCGCACAGCCTACAACAAATTTATATTGTTAGCGATACTTTGGAAGAAAAAGAGTTCTTGTATATTTATGGAAGATCTTTTATTTGGCTTGATTTACTTTTAAAAACATAACTGATTCTATGTAAACAGTTGTAAACATAATCACTATACTATGTATTTGTAAGTAAATAATTGATGGAGAACAAATAGTTGTTTCTAGCAAGGAGCGCCATCTCGTTTCAGTGTAGAGTACTAGCTTGTATCAACGTGCGGAAAAGGCTTTATAATCGTGCGGACGTACAAACGACGTACGAACTAATATAAATGAAGAGACAGTACACACATATTTCTGTAATGATATTTTATTTCACCCACAAAAGTTATTGTCCAATACAAATGTATTAAGTTAACATGCAAACAGTTTTGTGATAAAATATGTAGATGATAGAATTCCCACCGTAATGCGAAAAAAGTGGACTTAAAAAATCGTATAGTTACACGCGTGAAGCAAGGAAGACCTAATGAACACTTACTTACTTACTTTAATTTATTCTAGCAAAACCTGGTTATGACTTCGTAAATTATTAATTACAATTTTTATAGTCCAAAGACCTTATAAAAACAACTGAGCGCATTAAATTATTTCCTGATTAAAATCGTTCGTGTGTAAGTTGGACGTGATATGACGGAACTGAGGAAATTAACTATTTATGCTCACAGTTGCTTTTTGGTCATTAGTATGAAATAACAGTGACGTAACTACCGGGTGGGGAAAACGCTATAAGAAAAAGAAAAGGAGAAAGAGAAAATTATAAGAGCAGTAGTCCCAAATAATGCTGTTAAGTCACTGTGAATATATATTATGCTAGCACCATCAGACCAAGCGATATAATACTGCTGTACCTATACCATAAGCTAAAGCAATAGTCGACATTTTTCGATACTCGATAGCACCAACGTAAATATGTTGATGTCTAAAGTAACAGCGCCTCTGACGGATACATGCGGAACTAACATAGAACTCTTAGTACCAAAGGAGTTACTAGAAATGTGTTGCCGGTTTCTTGTAGGTTAGGTATTTGGGATTTAAGGATTGAGTGGAAAAATCCTCCGGTACCCTCAGTGACACGGCAAAACACAACGTAAGTGTGTCTGGCTATCGAATATCGAAAAATGCTATTGCTTAAATCGCTACTTATGGTAAAGGTATTGAGTTAACAAGCTGTACATAAATAATGGATTAGGAGGACGGTAGCAGCACCTGCGCAATAAGGTCTCGTGCGCGTCGTGCGTCGATCTGATTGACGCGTTTGTTCTTGAGGTGGTGGGGAGTGTCGCGGCGGTGCAGCCGGCCCGCCTGCACGGGGGCGCCGCGCTCCTCCACCGTGGCGCGCCACGCCACCCGCCGCGGCCGCTACCCGCACCACCACCGACACACACCCGTGTATACATACACCGAAACAGTCATACCCCGAACCTATCCTACTCCACATTTATACCCCTTCCCATACATTCCTTCCCAAACATAAAAGAAAATAGATCACGCAGCGGTCGCGTTGTCGCATCTAATACTTTACAACATATGTATATTAATAATTACGCGGGTATCAACGCGAAAAGTAATTATTAAATACCTTGGAAGGCTTGACCTTTCGAGCTGGTTGCACAGGTCGTGGTCGGAAGCAGTCTGCTTGCGGTATTTAATAATTACTTTTCGCGTTAATACCCGCGTTAATATTTAAATAAACATGAAACGCGAAAGTTTAAAAGTTACTAACTCTAATACTGAACTTTAAAGACTGTTCAATAAAGTTGAAATTGCTTTAAAAAAAGCAGTATATAAGCGGCCGAGCGATCATTTTCGCGTCATCTTACTAGGCCCTCGCAGTCGGTCTGAACAATAATTTGTCTGCAGATAGGTTCGCTTGATAGAGATAAAACAGTTACATAATAATATGTATATAGCGTATGGATTACTATGTCAAATATCTGGCTTCAAATAATCAAATCTAACAGAAGACAAAATATTGAAAATGACCGCAAAATTCGTATGAAGTCGGTTCCTCTGAGATGATGGATTGTCGTTCGAGAGACGTAGACTCCCGCGCCCCAATGAAATATGTTCCACACCATTTTCCATCCACCCTGATTTTACCAGAACCATTTCGAATATAAAGGAGTTTTTAAGGAACTTCGAGGTATGACTGTTACCTGATATTTCGAGTAAATGTGATAATATGATGGAATATGCATTATGAGAATAATATTATTGAAACTATTCATATTATGGATATCGTTCGCATATTTACATAATTTCACATTACTCCCATAAAGGTTTAAAATAAAAAAAAATATATACCAGATTCCATAAAGGTTAATTTGTTATTGTTTGTATATTGAAAATTAAGATAATGTTAATTTTAATAGTTTTTTTTTCATTGTTAATTTCTGTTGTAATCAAAATGCTACGAATACACTAGACTACTAGTTAGGTATTAGAAGGAAAAGTTAATATCTTGCAGTCTAATAGTTGTCATCCCATACATATATATTGTAAGTATTAGACATTAACTAGAAAGTATTTAAAATGCATACTAAAAAGAACCTTATTTGAATCGAGTGTTCATTCATATTTTTTTGGGTTTCGTGAGCAATCTTTAATTTATGTAATCTGTGGCACATAACAAAACTAGGCCATTGCAGATAATATAGGA